ACATTAATATTGTTCGTCTTCCTCTCCGATCGAAACTGTGTTTTCTTGTTTCTACTGTGCGTTTCACGACTAAGTTTTTGTAAGTTTAGGAAATGGATTAATTAGTAAATACATATAGGCTTAGTTATTATATTTTTTGTCAAACGATCGATTTCCATGTTGACTTTTACTGCATTGTCGAAGATCACATCAACACATTTCATCCAAGATTGTTACTGTCATCACGGTGAGAAAAAAACAAACTTGTGGAGATCATGGTCATTGATGAGAACCTTTATATTACTTTTTAAATATTGGTGTTCCATGTTTCTTATTGTTGAGACTTATTCAGTGTGCGAATAAATAATTTCCTCTGGCGACTGCTACAAATGTATCAAATAGATATTTCGTCCATTCCATTACCAACGCTATATATATTTATACAAGAATTGAAAAGTAAAAGCTTTACAAAATGAACTATTTCTATCCAATGTATACACTCTATTCAACCAGAGCAGAAAGTTCACAACAAAGTTAAATGGCGACTTTTAAACAGATGTTGTTTTACATTCATAACTGCTAAATACTTGAATAGAAATGCGTTATGCATGAGTAATATTCAAAACGGGTATATATACAGACAGAATGTCTTGTACTTCCTGGTCAACAATTATTACTCTGTGATGTTGTTTAGGTTGCGATGAAGGTACGTCATTTTTACTTATTTATTTCATGTTATACATGTTATAAAAGAAGCAAAAAGTTATAGGCGTGTCAAATTACGGATCAAACCGATTTCTGTTTATCATTATTAGAGATGGCGGTACTTTTATAAAAAAATTAACTTGTTTTTTTAATCTTGCATGTATTCTTACATAAAATGTATGCTTGATGGAAAATAAAAATAATGTTCTATTTACAATGAATGTACTTGAATGTTCAATATCAAACCGACCTCTGGCATCCTGGTCAATATTCAGATTTTCTTAGTCAAACGTAATACAGCTTTGGCTACAAAATGAGATTCTAAAATTGATAACCAAATTGAAACAGTGAATATAAAAAGAGATGTGATAACATGTTTGTGAGTTCTACATAAAATTATAAATAATCGTCCATAAAGGTTTGTTCAATACCCTAGGTCCTTTGCCCTTGCACTTGAATCTACGAACACAACACAGATGAAAAGTTGCATTGACATGATTTTCATAGCGTCTGTATCTGCGCTGAACCGAACTATCAGCCAAATTTTATTGACATTGAAAGATTTTACCGATCTCCGATAGTCTTACGCAATTCATTTTGAGTATCTAGTTGACAAATAGATGCATCCGTACATATTAACGACAAAAGTTTTAAACAATATGCTATCCAACCTACATGACCTAGTAAACTCTTTTCAATCGCTTTTTACAGATATCCAATATCTAACCGACAACTTGGGTTACCGTAAATTACCGAAGATTAAAATTACCTGTGAACTCTTTTAAATAAGATCTATATTATGCGTAAACTATCTCTGATCCAAATGGTTTGGTATTTAATGATCACAAAGGTCTAACTTTCATTTAATACGTCTGTTGTAGTCTTTTACAATTCGTATTGAATATAAAGCTGACATTAAGAGACTGCCGTTCATATAAAAACCAAAATGTTTACACAGATTATTTTCCTTGATATTTGTATTGATAACTTGCTTAACTTTAGACTAAAGATCAGGAAAATTGAACGAAAGAGTTTTATCCACCCCTCTAGACCAATTTTGCCCTAATGTTCGTCCATTTTATATCATTTTTAATGCCGAACTGACATGTTAGGTCCACCGTATATTTTAAGGACGAAATGTGTAAGGAAAATCTTTGTGAAAAAATCCAGATTTGTGTCGACTACTGTTCAAAAGTATCTACTATTTATATTAGTTACTATCATGTTTCTTGTTTTATCTATTCTGGTTGAAAGATAATGAACGTGTTCGTTCTTGTTTTATAAAAAATAGAAGTTGGTATATGATTTGAAAATCGTCATTTAAGGGTAAAAAATATTTAAGGAGTAATCGGATGGTAAATCTTACATTTCTGGAGTGGTCATGCAATCAAATGATACTTTGGTTCCATTTTATTGACTTTGCTTTTACATTATAAGAGAAAGTTGTGATTGATGAAAATGTTTATATTGGAATTTTCGGTAACCTGCAGTGGTCACACACATTTTATAACATCGCTTTTTTATTTTCTATTTTGAATCAGGTTAACATTTTAGGAATTCTATTGAAAGCAAGCATTTTATAACTTTTGAATCTAAGTACATCGGACCGTCTATTAGAGGTCAGTTCAATATTGAATATCATATTACTAATAAAGAACCGATCGCTTACTTCAATATTATCTATAGATATATGTAAGCATTTTCATAAATCTTTAATATCTATGTAATATTGGGTATATCCGCATACACTTTCGTTATAGATTTTTTTAATAGTTAAAGAATAACGTTCCTTACATATATGTAATCAGTGCTTCGATGGTAAAGGAAAGTAATTGAAATTAAAAAAAAAACGATTGTTCAGAGAACAATTGAAGGTCTTGCCACCTAATCTGTTGGTAGGATTATATAGACTTCTAACAGTTACCTTTGCTTAACAGTGTCAAAAGATAACTTGTATTCAACAGATTCCAAATTATACAGTTTGTAGTAGCTTTCGGGGAAATCTGAAAGATGATTAACGACTTCCGGTTACAAAAAGTCACTGCCGGTGTCAAATAACAGATTACTTATCCCTGATCTCAAATATGTATGGGTTCTTTGTATTTTTCGTTGAAACAAAAGGAGATTATTGGATACTTTTGGTCTAAAAAAATGCCCAAACCGGTGTCGTATGTCAGCTCACATTACACTAATTCGATAGATACATGGTTTCTTGATACTTTTGCTTCAAATAAAGGAGATAATTTGATACTTTTGGTTCCATTTTATTGACTTTGCTTTTACATTATAAGAGAAAGTTGTGATTAATGAAAATGTTTATATTGGAATTTTCGGTAATCTGCAGTGGTCACACACATTTTATAACATTGCTTTTTTATTTTTCTATTTTGAATCAGGTTAACATTTTAGGAATTCTATTGAAACCAAGCATTTTGTAACTTTTGAATCTAAGTACATCGGACCGTCTATTAGAGGTCAGTTCAATATTGAATATTATATTACTAATAAAGAACCGATCGCTTACTTCAATATTATCTATAGATATATGTAAGCATTTTCATAAATCTTCAATATCTATGTAATATTGGGTATATCCGCATACACTTTCGTTATAGATTTTTTTAATAGTTAAAGAATAACGTTCCTTACATATATATAATCAGTGCTTCGATGGTAAAGGAAAGTAATTGAAATAAAAAAAAAAACGATTGTTCAGAGAACAATTGAAGGTCTTGCCACCTAATCTGTTGGTAGGATTAGATAGACTTCTAACAGTTACCTTTGCTTAACAGTGTCAAAAGATAACTTGTATTCCACAGATTAAAAAATATACAGTTTGTAGTAGCTTTCGGGGAAATCTGAAAGATGATTAACGACTTCCGGTTTCAAAAAGTCACTGCCGGTGTCAATTAATAGATTACTTTTCCCTGATCTCAAATATGTATGGGTTCTTTGTATTTTCCGTTGAAACAAAAGGAGATTATTGGATACTTTTGGTCTAAAAAATGCCCAAACCGGTGTCATATATCAGCTCACATTACACTAATTCGATAGATATATGGTTTCTTGATACTTTTGCTTCAAATAAAGGAGATAATTTGATACTTTTGGTTCATATGATAAGTTACTTCTCACTGATTCTAAAAATATATGGTTTCAAGGTACTTGTACATAAAATTAGTGTAAAAATTGCTTCTTTAAGTTTAATTAATGTCAATTCCTTTGACCTTTTTTAAGGTCATATTCCTTCCAACCTAATGCAAAAGACCTAATGGTTTTATCAAAAGTTTATAGCAAAGGGCAAAATCTAGAACGTCACCTCGGTCATTGACCTTGACCTACATTTCAAGGTCGCTATTCATGGATCTCAAATCAAAAGAGCACATGTCGTTCAGATGCGTGGTTCAGGAGATATACTGATTTCTAATAAACATGATAAATAAGGGAAAAAAACTATAAAAGGTCACCGAAACACTTCGTCTCAAATGCATTGAAACAAATAAAAACAACACGTTATAAATGGCATGCGTCTTATTTATGATAATCTCAGGCTCGCTGCTTGATTTATTTACTTTGAGATTCTAACAAAAAGGTGTCGCGTTTCTGAACATGAATTTAAAAATGAACAGTATTCCTAAAATAGTTCCATCAGTTCGTTTATTTATAGATTTTGGCAAGTGTTGATTATTTGTCCTCAAAGAGATTCGAAAAGGTAATATTCTTTTATATTCAAAATTCTATCTAACAATGTAAATAAAGCTACGTGTCAGATAAGTATCGATTAATTTTGATTACGGATGACCTTCGATGGAATATTGTTACCAAAAGCAGGTTACAAAATTTGTAAAAGTGTATACAAATCTTATTCACCAACAATGTGTACAACTAAATACAATTTTGATTTCATGGATATTAATATAAAAGTATGGACAGATAACTAAGGCATACTATTTTGACTCTTTCATACTCAATGGAAGGTTTCAACATTTTTGTATTTTGACCTTTTGATAATTTTTTTAGTCATGTTTGTATATTTTTCTAAATAACAGTACGGATAATGAATGCAAGTTTATCTATGAGAACGTCAATATACGTGAACAAATAGAAGTGAAGGTAAACGCGCACTCAACTTTTGTAACATTGGAAAGATAACACAGGCTAACACCGCGTTTACTATTTCCGTCCGGCTGCATGTTTTATGCTTTGTTTGCACCCAACAGTAGTTACAACTGATGAAGACAGAACGTTTATAAAGTATGTATATTGCAAATTGACTTTCATATTTAACAAAGTAAATAATAACGACTCTTTTTCAGATGAGCAAATCTCTGCAACTACATGTATTTCTAATTATTACAGAGACCTTTATTGTTGCAGTTACAACACAACGTAAGTAATAGTTTTTCTTGATAGAGGTTTGATGCTCACAAAGAAGCTATTGAATCAAGAATTCTAAGTGGTAAAGTTGAAATCGTACATTTTACGGACGCTATCACGAGTTGGTTGACTGTTACGGCATATCTGTTTCACAGATGACGGCGGATATATTCCTTTTGTCGTAACTACAATCCCGTTCCCTTTTTAGCTCACCCGAAGGGCCCCATGTGAGCTTATGCCATCACTTGGCGTCCGTCGTCGTCCGTCGTCTGTAGTCGTCGTCATCGTCGTCGTCTGTCGTCGTCGTAAACTATTTCAAGAATCTTCTCCTCTAAAACTACTGTGCCAAATACCTTCAACCTTTAACTGAATGTTCCTTACGGTATCTAGTTTATCAATTGTATCCGAAGTTTTGATCCATCAACAAACATGGCCGACATGGCTAAAATAGAACATAGGGGTCAAATGCAGTTTTTGGCTTATATCTCAAAAACAAAAGCATTTAGAGCAAATTTGACACGAGGTAAAAATGTTCAATAGGTCCAGATGTATCAGCCATGAAAGTTTCAAACGAACCAAAAAACCCATTGTTGGATTGCTGCCACTAAATTTGTAATTTTAAGGAAATTTTGCAGTTTTTGTTTCTTATCTTGAATATTATTGAAGATAAAGATAACCTATAAACAGCAGAAATGTTCAGCAAAGTAAGATCTACAAAAAAAATTTTTATGACCAAAATTGTCAATTGACCCTTTAAGGAGTTATTGCCCTTTAAAGACAATTTTACACAATTTGTCCATCATGTTTGCTAATATTTAAAAATCTTCTCCTCTGAAACTACTGGGCAAAATACTTCCAAACTAAAACGAATGTTCCTTATGGTATCTAGACTCTAAATTGTATCCAATGTTTTGATCCATTAACAAACATGGCCGGCATGGCTAAAATAGAACATAGGGAACAAAAGCAGTTTTTGGCTAATATCTCAAAAACTACAGCAGTTACATCAAAAGTAAAAGGAAGTTAAAGTGAAAAATTGGTTATGATCTAACTATTATGAAATTTTCAGACAAGTTCGACAACCCACTGTTACTGTTGGAAATAGTTTATTTTTATTAAATTTTACTGTTATTTTCTTTAATATTATAATAGATAGAGAGAAAGTATAAATGACAATAAATGTTCAGCTAAGTAAGATCTCCAAATAAGTCAACATGATCAAAATATTCAATTCACCCCTTAAGGAGTTGTTGCCCTTAAAAAGTTTTAATACATTTTTTGTGAAAGTCTAATTACTTTTAAAAAATCTTCAACTCTGAAACCACTTAGCCAAATACTTAAAAACTTTAATTGAATGTTCCTTAGGGTATCTAGCTTATAGATTGTATTCGGAGATTTATCCATTTAAAACCATGGCGGCAGTTTCTAAAAAAACTTAGGGGTCAAATGAAGATTTTGGCTTTCATCTCAAAAACTAAAGCAGTAGGAGTAAAACCGACATAGGTGAGAGTGTTAAACAGGTTTAGATCTACCTTTCGAGCAATCTTCAGACCAATAGGACAACTTATTGTTGGGTTACTGTCCAGAAATAGGAAATTTTTAGGACATTTTACAGTTTTGGGTTATGTATCATCTTTAATATAATTATAGAACGAGAGAAAGTGTAAATGACAAAATTGTTCAGCAAAGTAAGATCTACAAATAAGTCAAATGACCGAAACTGAAATTACAGGTGAGCGATATCAGGCTCTCACGAGCCTCTTGTTCCCGAATGCAATCTACCGAATCAGACTTATCACCGGGTATGTACTTACATGAGCAATGCTTGTAGGAAATTTATAGTTATCAATTTCTACAAAATGTCTCTGTCTCAATGAAAGAATCAAATAATAGCAAAAATCATCACAAATACTAGTTGAAATAGATTACATTAACCAAACACCGACACCTCCGAAAAAAAAGACCAATGAACAGCACACGGTAATTGTAGCATGACTACAGTTACCGTGTGCTGTTCGTTGTTGTATGTCTTTTACGGAAGTGGCGGTGTTAATAATTAATGTGGTCTATTTTAGTAAGTATTTATGGTGACTCCTGCCAATCTTGGTATGTATGATGGAGACAAAGACATTTTGTACATATATTTTTTTTTTAGATTTTTTTATGAATTTCTTGCAACATTTTTCATTTTGAAAAAATGTTTCCAATGTATCGGTGTTAATCCTTTAGTTTGCTCATGTCATTACGATATCATCGATTTTATATTTTGTAATTATATCTATTGTGCTACTGAAAGTGAATTTAAATAAGGATAAACGGGTGATAGGCTGTCTTAAAATAAGGATAATTGTTAATAAATGTTCATTGTTTACAAATGAATATTGATGATAATAATTAAAAGTATTATCAAATTTAATGGTGGTGACTACGATCTATATTTTAACTTGGTATCTTTTGCAATCAGCGATATTACGTTTTATTGGTGTAGATCAAGACAACGATAAATGACACGTGTTATTATATTATTTGCAGAAAATCTGGCCCTACAGGGAAATGTAAAACAAGAGACAACGTTTATAGAAGAAAATGGTACTGTTCACAGTGCTAATTTGGCAATAGAGGGACCTGTAAATAATAACTGGAACGATGGATGCTCATCTACACAACCAGGAGGTCCGACAGCATGGTGGGGTTTGTTTCTTCCAGAAGTAGCTTATATTACAAATGTGGTGATTTACTTTCGCGGTGACAGTAAGTGCAAAGTTCGGTTCATTTATATGACTTAAATAAATAAATACATGAATATATATAATTGTATATTCCTGTTAACTAAAATAATATAAAAAGAATACATTGTACCAAATAAGTATATGTTAAGCGTGTCCTTCGTATCCGGACCTGCGCGGGTTAATTTCTAGTATTGTGTTTTTGTTTTTTTTTATCTTCGATTGAAAAGTTGAATTCTATCTTATAGCATCTCTAAAATAAAGTGTTCCTTTGTTCAGAGCTATCTTTCGTGTTTTTGCCCGATAAGCCATCCAATAAAGAACTAATAGTGAAAAATACTGCGACTAGTTCCTTATGCGTAGAACTTAAATATTTTCGATAAGGGTTTATTTCATGCACTACTGCAGAATTAGTTTCCACGATGTAATCAGCACCAGTAAAATTGCTAGTTTTATATATAAGTTTTTTGTGGACCGCTGAATGCCCAGAAAATCTTAATTGGTGGACTTTTCTTTTATATTGAATGTGTAAGCCCCGTGGTCGTCTGTGTTACAGTACTAGCATCTATTTTCGTCAAAATTTTATGCTTCGTTTTTGGTGAAGTAATCCCATTGCTTGTAGATTATTGATAATTACATTGACATACAATGTAGTTGGTTTTATATGGTTGTCTTACAGATGATGAGCTAGGTTCACAATTGAAAATGAGTCCTTGGCTTAGTATAATTTGCCTGCGTTTGTTAATGAGTACTACGGGATCTTCTCTTTTCTGTTCTCTTTTTAGCGTAGTAATCAGCATGCCTCAGATTTGTTGCATTAACTATTCCGAACGTACGGCGATCAGCAGACTTTGCGCCAACATCCTAGTTGTATGTATTTGCTATTCTCAATATGTTGTTGCGCTCATTGATCGAATAATGGTAAGTTTCAAGTACATTCACAGTATTTTGCATTGATCGGCATTTTAGAAAGTCGAGAATTTTTAAATACTGTCATGTTTTGAATATTTAAATTTAAATAACTTCTAATTTTCTTCAAAACGATAATTGAGTGTTGGCTTTTTATGTATTGTAAAAAGGGAGTCAAATGCCTTTGCATCAAAAGCGATCTCAAACTCTGAAAATGTCTTGCCTGAAATTAGCTGAAAGTAGAATCTACTTAGTGATAAAGAAGAGAGCGCATCATTCTTAAGATGTATTGTGATCGTATGCGGTCATTTTTGTTTCGTCTTCTCGTTATCATTTTTGGCAGAAATTCAAAGTCGAAAAAGTCAAAGCGAAAAATTTGGCGTTTCCGTGTTTTTACCGATTCGTATTCATATTTTTGCCTGATTAAATGTCAAAAGTGATTATGTAAACACCCGAAAAGGCCGCAGTCGGCCTCTTTTATATTGGTGATACGTGTAAGCCGGTAAATGATTCAGTAGAATTTTAATAATTTGTCTGTTATAAAAATAATGACTTATACTATCTGATACAAATAACGGAACCAATAGAATATTTTAAACCACTCGCCTTCAACTAATGTTTTTCGATTCAGTCTTTCTTTAAATAGCGGTTCGTCTGTAAAACTCTACGAAAAGCCTTCATTTAACCGCTCAAAAATTTTCTTTACTTTTCTACAACTACCATATACTGATAAATACTCAATATCGAACGAGTTAAAATGATATAATTTGTTTCAAATGTCTCCCTTTGATCATCAATTTTAGTTTGCGTAAAAAAATTAAGTTGCTGTATATCATATTTGTTCGTAGGTTTTGTTGTTATGTACATGCACAAGGACTTGTTGGCATTGCTTAGCATTTTGTAATGTCAAGGTCATTTATAGCTTGCTACGAGGTATGAGGTTTGTCGTACATTTTTCGTACAATGACCTAAAGTTGCTAACATCTAAGACATGTGGTCTCTGTTGGATAGTTGTCTCATTGGCAATCACGCTCCATCTCCTAATTTTATACTTAAACAAAAATATGCTGATAAGATCGACTATTTTGAGACATCAATGGGACATTTCGATAGAGTATTACTGTTTGTAGAAGTAAGAAAATTCGGTATCGTTTACATAACCAATGTCATCTATCAAAATATTGTTCCGTAAGATACGTTTATTCCCCTCTTTACATTGTTTATGGCAACCATATCTTTATTGATTTCATTTAGAAAAGGAAACAAGAACTCCATGACCTGATTGACTTTTTCACTAACCAAAACATTTTTTTCAGTCAAAGTATTTTCAAATAGCACTTTCAAGTCATTTTGTTTTGAAGTCATTTATAGTTGTTGCTTAACAGAGCCAGATCAAATGGAGGATTTCCGTTTGTATCTTTTAAATTCATCAATATTAATTGAAGTGTTAAGATCACAATAACAATCATATATTAAGTGAAATACTCGTACTTCTAATGAATAAGGAGTGACAAACCCAATGATCTTTCTCATTATGTAGTATTAGAAGTTTGATTGCAAACTGTGCGCTTCACATTTGTGTCTCACCATTCGTCTATCAGACAACACTGGGAGAGGTATATCGATATACAATGTATAAGAAGTAAATTTTATTTTTGTAAGGTTACTATCGACGAAAAAGGAACTCCTTGACCAAATTGACTTTTTCACTAACCAAAACATTTTTTTTTCATTCAAAGCATTTTCAAATAACACTTTCAAGTCAATTTGTTTCGAAGTCCTTTATAGTTGTTATTTTACAGAGCCAGATCAAATGGATGAATTCCGGTTATATCTATCAAATACATCCATATGGAATTCGGATGTAACCCTATGCTACACAGATCGAGGAATTGCTGGCCTTCCTGACACTACCCAGAATATCAACTGTAATATAGTTGCGAAACAAGTTTACTTTTTTAACAGAAATCGGGTTGTTCAGTTGTGTTATATACAAATAAATGGTAAGAAAGTGTGGTTTACCATACCCTTAAGTACTGCTATTGTATGTTAATATGTTAATGTATATTGGCTTGCATTTATTTATTTGCATATACAAAAATCTTATTTATCTAAACTTCAGTTTTCCTGAAAATATATAAGACTTTTAAAAACTGCGGTGAACTTACGTTAGTTGTTCATACCAGTTATATTTTAGGGCTTCACATTTGTCCTTGACACTGACTCCAATATCAATTGAATAGGAAAAGTGTTAAGATCACAATAACAATCATATACGTGAAATATTCGTACTTCTAATGAAGAAGGAGTGACAAACCCAATGAACTTTCTCATTATGTAGTATAAGAAATTTGATTTTAAACTGTGCGCTTCACATTTGTTCTTCACCATTCGTCTATCAGACAACACTGGGAGAGGTATATCGATATACAATGTATAAAAAGAAATTTTACGTGTATTTTGTAAGGTTACTATCGACCATGCAGAACAATTCAGCTGCCGATATCTCAATTCGATTTTTTCGCAGTTTGATAGGAACTGCCCTCAGGAAATTAACAAAGAACATAAATTAATGATACGAACTATTATTCATAAATTACTTAAGACTTTTGTGAAGTCAGAAGGGCCGATGTGGCCATATACGTTTATGTTTGTCTGCAATGTGTATTACATAAACCAGCTACATATGCCAGGGTTATAATAAGCCTTAAGGATGTATTCTTCTGATGTTTCAGTCTCGTTGAAATCTCGTTCGTGAAAGATTTCCAAAACATGTGATACAAGTGGAAAATATGCATTTAAAAAATATTATAATCAAACTAAACTCAAAAAATTGTGTACTTACAATAAGTAGTTTTTAAATAATAAAATTTTCAAATGTTATAACCAATCCGGTCAGTGTCATTAGCCAAAATGTTGAGCAAATGGGTAAGGGATACCAAGAAATGATTTTACCAAAAATATGTACATCCCATATCATTTTTTTCTTTTCAAAATTCTAAGATATGTTTTATTTGGTCAATCATTCATAACAATGAAATTGAAATAATATGCTTTTTGTTCTGAAAAAAAGAGAAAAAGCCCAAATCTACAAAAATTGACAGCATGGTTAATTTGACACGAAAAAACAACAAAATTTTATAAGACTTTCTAATATAAACACCAACATAAAATATTTTTAAGTTACGTTTGTTCAGATGGGTCCACTTCATCTTTAGTGAAAGTGTGAAAACAATTGCAATTGTGAAACTGATTTTGTGCAGCCCCCCCCCCCCCCCCCCCCCCCCCATCTCTTATACATTACCCCACAAAATACATTCAAACAGTAACATTTTAGATTAGATACATCAAAAGACACACTACAATCTTATACACGTTACCTTTACTTATAATTGACATTTAAATTTGTACTTTTAACACCTTGATTACATTGTAATGTGACGGTCAGTGATTTCAATCACAAAGATGTTCATTTATCAATACTATACAGTGATTTCTTTTTGGGGAAGTCCAATGTTCCAAATAGGGAAAGAATGTAAGTACAAAATGATAAGAAATTTATTTAAAGTATAAGGTTTTCAATATGTTTTATTACAGCTGCACATTGTTCTTTTTGTAAAGATAATAGATTCAGTTAAGCTGTCGAGTTCCTATTTTGCACATGATATCAATTGGCTGGAAGTAAAACAGTTGATATTTGATTAAATTCCTACACTTCCAAATAACCCGTGTATATTGTTAATATTTAGCAAGGTATCAGTTATGACATGATAGTATCTATTGTGATCGTACATTTCTAGTATGATAAGTTCTGCCCTTATTGGGATATCTGCTGTATTATTCACCAAATTTTAAATGAACTAACCATTTTTTTAGGGTTGGTTTGTAAGTTGTCGCCTTTTAGCCTGTCCTTGAAAGATTTGGGTATAGCTAATTTCAATCTAATCCATTCCGGAATCCAGTTTCTTTTATCTTTAAGCGTATTGTATATAAAGTTGTCGCTTTTGATATTTTCGTTTTTTCATCCCAAATATTTCTAAATGTATGATTTGCACTTTTTCCAAAATTAGCGAAGAAAATAGGTTTTCAGTTATATTGATTTTTTATTTTCCAAATACTTGTTGGTTTATGATATAATTTTTATTTACTTGACTTTGTATACTTTATAATTTAGACCATGTTTTAAGTAAATTAAATTTTGGAAAATGTTCCGTCTGCATTCGTCGTAAATCAGAACATTTTGCTAAAAAGTTTTCATATTTATATTGCTATCATATTTTTGCAACCACCATTTGGCTATCGTGTTCCAGTGATCATTTTCCGATCTTAAAATATTTTGTATGCTTTTGATTTGTTTAGATTGAATATATATATATATATATATATATAAGTCTAAATTGAAAACAACGTTCAAACCTATGATTGTGTTGGATAAAAACCGCAATTTTTATACGTGTGCATGCAAAACAAATTTCTTGTTAGAGGGGTCTAAATACAGCACAAACAACATTTTCCAAAAAGACCAAAAAAGTGAAAAAGTATATTTTAACAAAACGCATTTGACTAACAGGTCGAACAACAAATGTTCTTAAACCCTTCTGACTGCCATTGGCGATTGCCAAATAAACGGATCACCGATGTAATAAATGGATCTTAATTATAAATTTAATACTAAACAGAAAACAATAAACTTGCGGAAAAAATGATTTACCGCAAACAAAAGGTGCAAAGGTTTTTGTACACCATATCCGGATTTCGACAATACATATATATGAGTCTATGTTGATCATACCCATTCCACCTTCCTCTTGTGGTAAGCAATACACGTCCCTTTTAAGTAACTTCACTTTTCCCTACCATACAGAATTCCATATGATGTTGTTTATTTCAATTTCTAACCCTCTTTTAGATATAATCAATGGTTTTAGGATTAGGACCCTGGTCTTGTGTGTTAGGTCACGCAACGCACAAACTTCATGACAAGTCTTAATTTTCTTGATTTTCTCACACTTTTTAGATTCTACATTAACACTGTATCTATGCATAACTTCAAATGTTTTTATTGGTTCACTTGACCACATAATGATTTTATATTTTGGGGTTTTATTTTTCCAACGATCTAAATATACCACTACAATAACCACTTTCTATAATTATCTTAACTCCCGATGCTTTCTCGTATATTTTTAAAACATTCCATGTTTCCTCGATTGATTCCACTGTTCTATTAAAAAAGATGTGTTTCGTCCGCACACATGTTTGTTTTAACCTTTGGCGTGGCGTAAATGAATTTTGGGGATTAGTCCTAATTATAGCTGCCTTTGGGGGTTAGGGGTTGGGGAGGGGCTCTGCTTGTAAAATGTATAGCATGGGCAATATTGGGCTTCCCTGACGGATTGAATTAGAAATATTAATGGGGACACATGTTTCATCTAGTCATTGAACAATTTTAGAATTTTTAATTACATTCCCTCCAAAAAGATTTCCCCGTATTAAGAATGTTCTAACCATGCATCTAACAATTCCCATTCTGTATAACCAAAAGCTTTTGTTTGGTCCAGGAAAATTATGAATCCTTTCTCATTTTCAATATCTCTGTATTCGAAAATATCTGGCAGCATATTATTAGAAACGAAAATATTTCTGCCCTTTACAAACCCCTTTTGATTTGTTTCTATAATTGATGGTAGGACACTTCTCATACGTTCAGCGAGAATTTTTGAACAAATTAGATAGGTAAAATTAAATCAAGTTATTGGTTGCCAGTTCTTTATATCCTCCCTCTTTTATATAATAGAGTTATCATTCCAAGTCTCCGCAATTCGGAATGTGTTCTATCAAAAACAATTTCTTGTATGTAGCGTTGTCAGTTTATTTTTGACTTATGAGTTTGAATTTCCTCTTAGTATCTTTCGCCTATCTTTTAATATTTGTGTAAGCTCAATCTAATACCAACACTGTTGGTAAAATTCTCAGTTATTCCATCTTCCCCTGGTGTTTAATCCCTTTTCATTAATTTAATTGCTTGACATATTTCATCTTTCAACATTTCACTATCACATAAATATTTGTGCGCTTCAGAGAGTTTTATTTACACTATGAAGTAATTTTCCCCAGCCTCTCGGCCTCAACCCCCTGAGGTAAAAAGTGTTCTTAATATTTGAATTTTTCGCCTCAGATTTCATTTATAGTCTTTTTGTATGTGCTCTTTTTTAGCTTTTTCATTTCTGCATTGACTATTGGACTATAGGAGGGATACTGTATTCAAAGCAGCAAATTTCTAATATATTTTTATCACCGAGCATCAATCCGGTCTTAAGGAATTTTTTCATAACATAGACATTATTTCGTGCCTTTACCTTTCGTAATTAGAATGTTTAACTAGATTCTTTTTTCTACCTCGTTGCTTTCGTTTCGTCATGTTCGAGTATTATTATTTGGATTTTGATTTTCGTCTCCGATTTTGAGTATCGATTTTTCGATGTTTTATACAAATTATCTATACTATTGTTCCGGGTAAAAATGTATTTTAAGGAATAAACATTAGAGTTTAATGTCCATAACATTCTTCATCATGCAATCAGACAACAAATTTACCAATAACGGGTGTATTTGTGCTTCATATGTACTTGCACAAATAAAGTCCCCAGTTACTCCATTTCTATATTGAGCACACGGTAATGTGAATATTTCTTTGTTCATTTTGGGGTCTTCTTCGCGATTCGTGTTTAAACTATGTCAATTTCTTTTGAGAAATCAAAAACAACTGTTTGGATAGAAACAACTAAACTAAAAATTTCGAAAATGGTAGCCAACGGATATTTTTAATATCAAAAATCAATTCAGAATGTACAGATTCTAACACAAAAATATCTTTCTCATATTTTATGATTTGTTTTTAATAAAAGCGCAGTTTTTATCACAATTCAGACACTGATGATCAATGTAGAATACCATAGTACATTTAATTGAATTTCGATCAAGTCTTATAGCAGAAAGAGTTTCTCCAATTTGATATTTTTTTTCAAAACTATTTCTAATCGAAAATTTGACTCTCGGAATCAATATGGAATTCCATAGTATACCTAAATATAACTGTTGTTCAAATTCGATTACATAGAGATGAAAATCAAAATTTGCTAATCTTCTCCCAATTATCGCATGATGCAAATTTTGAATCCCCAGAACCAATTATGAGTTTCGATTTAAATTCTAGCTCAAATAAGATAGTTCTCAAAATTTGTGAATTTTTTAACCAAAAAGTTTGACTTTTTTATTGAATTTTCCCCTTTTTTAAAAAGAAAAACCCCGACAAGGATAGATATAAGTGCTGTTCATCAACATGATTGATATCAGATGAGACATTCTTGACTGATAATAGCGACAAAAACATGTTTACAAACGGACAGACATACAGTAATTTCTTTAGGACATCACAGACTAATCGGCATAGTCTAATAAAAAAAAAAACCCAGGCCAAACGACCTTGAACTATCATAGCCTAACAGAATATTCCCTAACAAAAATGATCCGGAAAAAGTAACGAAAGTCCGTTTTTTTTTTTGCTGTACCAATTACATATAGTTTCAAAATGATTTGAACACTTTCAATAATTTGCGAAATATCAAATAAGTGACATCGGATCTTTTTTGATTCACTTCACTATCTCAAAAAAAGTGGTACCCATCTTTTACGATTATACATATATTCAAATTTTGACTCATTTTCTGATTAAGCTGTTCCAAACCAATTTTGAAGGTCACTTCAAACAATAAAATAGAACGGCATTGTTCAGAGAATTGTAATTTAGTCATTCATATACATGTAATGATAAAAATCATGTTTGTTACATTGAAATGTTAAGGAGCAATCTGCGCTTTTTGTAGTTTTGTGAGAACGGCAATATTTTAAACTCATTTGACAGACCGTTTTTTTTTTTTTTCAAAATTTGTCCTTATGACTGAATAAATTAGATTATCTATTGACCTTGCATGTGTCACATCCACGATCGCAATACTTGACCACCGTTACTTATTCTTTCAGGATCATGTTTCTCGATATACCGAATGACAGCCGCTATAAGTCTACGATGTTACCTCGAGAGTATCATCAGCTCAGTAGTCAGTTCTGTTTTACTATTAAACATGATTTATAACATACATTTTTAAAATTCTTTTTTGTTTGATTTTTTATTAGTAACTAAACTTCCAAATCTCTCAAGCAAGGTTGACCTTTCCAGATGCATTTGGCTGTTCATTTGTATGTCCCCTTTTCCTGAAATTTTCACGTTGGTACGTATGTTCATCCTTGACTTTCAAATGTGTACGTTTCAGCATTCCCGATGAAGGGTTCTCCAGATACACGCTTTGGACGCACGACATTTTTGAAGTGTTATTTTTATTTTCTATCATTGGGTCGTTTTTTTCTGCTGGTGGACTATTCTTTCCTGAAGTTGCCATCAGCTCAGTAGTCGGTGAGAATTATAACCGGATTTTACCTGCGCATATATATGCATGGGCAGCACGACTGCAACCACAATTGAAGCAGGAACTGCCTACCCCTTCGGAGTATGTGGGTTCATCCCCGGTTGTTGATGGGATTTCCATTGCTTAATCTTTTGTTTTCTGTGTAATAATTCGTTATTGTCGTTTTTTTCATGGATTAATCTGTTTTTTATTGAACTGTTGATTGATTTCCGATTGCCCCTTGTTTTTCTCTTTTTAATGTTCTTTTTTTTAAGGTCAGTTCTTGCCGTAAGCCTAGAGAATGAGATGAACAGACCATTTGCCGGCTGTCATTTCATATCTGTCCAGTCGTTATTCATTGATGTCATAATATAATATTTAGTTTATGTAAACAGAGAGAAAACTGAACAGTACTACTTAATAGTATTTGTCCAGTACTAAAAAAACTGAAATTATATAGGGTAAACATGGTAAAGAGTAAACCATTGCCATTTAAAATAAAACCTTTCTGTACTATATTATTTTTAAAATCACCTTTCATAAAAGAGGGACGAAAGATACCAGAGGGACATTCAAACTCATAAATCGAAAATAAACTGACAACGCCACAGCTAAAAAAGAAAAAGACAAACAGACAAACAATAGTACACAAAACACAACATAGAAAACTAAAGACTGAGCAACACGAACCTCATCAAAAACTGGGGGTGATCTCAGGTGCTCCGCAAGGGTAAGCAGATCCTGCTCCACATGTGGCACCCGTCTTGTTGCTCATGTTAGTACAAACCCGATAAATAGTCTAATTCGGTAGGTCACATTCGTGAAAAGGGAACGGGATTGTAGTTACGACATTAGGGACATATCCGCTATCAACTGTGAAACGGATATTTCATAACGGCCAACCAACTCGTGATGGCGTCCGTAAAATTTACGAAGGGATCATTTCAACTTCACCATTTGGAACTCTTGGTTTAATAGCTTCCTTGTGAGTAGCAACCCTCTATCAAGCCCAGGAATATCGTATCAATTGGGAGATATATACTACGTATGCAGGCGCTGCTGGAATGTTGCTACACAAAAATGGAAAGTTCACAATTGGGAAACTGAAATCATCTCTTTTGTCGTACAGTTTTGTTTTTAACCGACCCTCATTGTCAATTTCTAGATGTAAGTCAAGATATGAGGCAGACTTTACAGTATTTGTTGTATCCTTTATCTCTAGTTTGATGGGATAGATGCGTTCAACATAGTCACCAAACTTTGAATTATTTAGTGAGGGAACATCATCTTTATAGCGGAAAGTAAAGTAAAAGTATACTGCTAACTTCTTTTCTTTCTTCCTAAGAAGTGCCTGTATGAAGTCAGCCTCATAATAATAAAGGAACAAGTCGGCAAGAAGAGGGGCACAGTTGGTTTCCATGGGAATGCCGATAGTATGTTGAAAAACACGTCTTCCAAACGTAACAAATATGTTGTCAATCAAGAAATCAAGCATCTTGATAATGTAAGTTTCACAGAATCTTTTGTTCGAATCAGAGTGATTTTTTACAAAGTAGGATTTATCCCTCCCTAAGACAAGATACTTGTATCTACGTTGGACAATCTTTTTTATGAAACAAAGTAATACCAACTCTTTCAATATGTCTTTTAGTTTGAAGTGGAGAAAACTTGTGTAAAGTGTAGAAAAGTCAAATGTTTTAATACTATTGCAAGATGAAAGAGTCTTAGATTGTATGTTCTCTAAGAGATCCTTGGAATTTGTTAGTATCCACATTAGATTCACGCCACCTTTGGAATAGACAGTTTCACAGTAACTTTGATGCCCGGCTTTGATTGCTGATAAAATCGATTTTAATAATTTAGAAAGAGGTTTCGTGGAGCACTTGGAAGACTCAGCAATATACCTTGTTTGTAAAGACACTTATGTAGTTTAGGTATCCAATACAGTGATGGAAGATCCAGTTCATCATCTTTGGTAGAAATTAAAAAGGAACATTGAACAGACCTATGATTTTCCAGGATTTCCTCTTTATTAAGTCTCGTGGGGGTATATGTTGAGTTTCCAAGTGAATTGTCAATATCTAATTCATTTATCAAGCAGTTTATGTAATGTGATTTACACACAAAAACGATATTGTTTTTTGCTTTATCCGCGGGGACAACAACATTTTTGTCATGGGGGTAGGACAAGTGTTTTTGCAACATTTGGGTCTTTAAAAATTGACGTAGCATGGGTATTAATAGACCAATTCGGTTTCTTAATTCTGATTTGTATCAACGACCTCACAGCCTTAATCCATTCGGAAAGAGTATCTATGTCTTCTTTCTCGCGTTAAACCCATTGCCTGGCATCATCCTCGACTGAATCCATCAGTATTTTGAAGTTGTGTTTCTAATTGATGGATTTAGGCTAACGATAACTATAGGTCCTAACAAATTCAGGACATAAAACAGTATATCATCCTGACATCATTACTGTTTGTTACGATTCGCTGACTATTTGTAGTTTATACTTAAGAAATAATTCATGGCAGCCGTAGATTTGTTTTCATTTAACCATGGGTTGGGCATTTATATTCGATTATTTTAAAATACGAATACAAATGCCCAACCCATGGTTAAATGAACACAAATCTGTGACTGCCATGAATCATTTCGATTCTAATAGGACAAATTCGGTAATTTTGTTAACCGTGAAAGCCCTATACATACGATAATGTTTTGGCTGTTCCGTTTTACCCAATTTTGATAATATTAGTAATATTATATAATTCAATGATTATTTTTTTTTTTAATCGCATTTTTCACTGATATATTTTCTTCCAATGTAATTTTATTTGTTCTGAGGCGTACAAGAAGCTTTAAAACGCCCGGTATTTACATTTGATTTCTTGTTTACGAAAACATACTTGTGACGTCACCTTGTTTCGTTGCCATGCCAAGACAATAACATCATTTCGCGGAATTTTCGTTTTATGAAATTTTACCATGAAAAATAAATTGAAATGGACTGATTTGTTTATATTGCTGTACAATGGAGATAAATATATTGTATCTGAATCTTGGCCTACGTAAACTTGGGGTTTTGATGTAGAAAATTGAGAATATCTGGTAGTATACATAAGTTGGTCGTAACGCGGAACAGCCGTTTTTGCGTATTATTGCGTTTGTGCTAAAGGTAGATATATTGTGAGTATACTGGTTGACGATAATAGGACGTCATATTAGAATATAGGATGGGAGATTTGTTGCATATATGTAACCAACCAGTAAAACTATGTTGACTGATGAAATAGGTTTTTTTTTCAGTTTGTGATCTGTCTTTTATAAAATCTTATAGTTACCATTAAACTGAAGGTTTATACGTTTCCTATATCAGTTTTCTCTTTGATATTGGAACCATAAATACTTTTTCATACATCAAAGAGGTTTGGAAATATACTGTTAAGATACTTCTATAATTAAATAATGATTTTCATTGTAGGCTGCTTTAAAGGTACATGGGGAACAAATTGCTCAGAATCATGTCATCCTAAATGTATAAACCAACATTGTTATCCTGAAAACGGTTCATGCGTCTGGGGATGCAACCCACATCATTGTGCTAATGCTAAATGTGATATAAAGACTGGTGATTGTATAGAAGGATGTGCAAATACACGAGCCGGGCAGTCTTGTAACTTCTGTATGTATTTCCTTCTAATTATGGTTCACAAAAAAATAAGAGGTCTCAATTGAAATGAAGATCCTTATCAAGGGAAAAGAGAAAAATAACTTTCAAAGATATCAATCTTCAGCAATTTTGTGGGTTTTTTTTTTTTTTTGGATTAATCATAGCATATTTTTAATGGAAACGAAATTATATTTTACGATTTTTTTTTAACCTATATATATATATATAACCTTGTTGCCAATACCTAACGTTTTGTAACAGTTAAGTACATGTATGTTATTATAAAAACAGAAAATTATAAATTTCGCTTAGGTTAAGTAAATGCATTTTCTTGCCACGAAGAATTATATTAAATGATCAATTTGAATTGTCTCTATCACAGATAATCTAGCATCCAATGGAACAGCTAAACAAGATCCTCCTAAACTAAATTCCTCTGCAAGTTTGTCTATTGATGGCATTCGGAAAAATGGCATGTGTTCAATGACAACTGGAATACATTCTTACCTGCAAGTTGACACTGGATTCCTGAGTGTTATTTCTACAATTTTTCTCACTTTTGGCGGTAAGACATAATTAGTTGAGGAATTTAAGTGTCAATGATATAAGAGAATGTGACCTTTTCATTGTAGTTTAGTAAGTCTGATGAAAATGTGAGTGTCATGGCTATTTGTGTACGTTAAATCTGAGTAATAACATTCTTTCATCTGCAATTAAAAGTTTTGGTAACGAAAGAGTCAGAGGGAACTCTATATAAATAAATAATTCAAAATTTGGTGACTATGTTGAACTTGAGATAAGGGATCCAACAAAAACAAGTTTGCCTCATATAATGAATTACATCTAGAAATTTAGAAATTGACAATGAGGGTCGGTCGGTTGAAAACAAAACTGTACGACAAAAGAGATGATTTCAGCTTCCCAATTGTGAACTTTCAATTTCCATGCAGCAACATTCCAGCAGCGCCTGCATACGGAGTATACATCTCCCAGTTGATACGATATTCCAGCGCTTGTATTTCCTATCATGATTTCCTTGATAAAGGTTTGTTGCTCACAAGGAAGCTATTAAACCAAGAGTTCCAAGTGGTGAAATTGAAATCATCCCTTCGTAAATTTTACGGTCGCCATCACGAGTTGGTTAACCGTTATGGAAGATCTGTTTCACAGATGACAATGGATATGTTCCAATTGTCATATCTACAATCCCGTCCTCTTTTCCCGAATGTGACCTACCGAATTAGACCGGGTTTGTACTAACATGAGCAACACGACAGGTGCCACATGTGGAACAGGATCTGCTTACCCTTCCGGAGAACCTGAGATCACCCCCATTTTTAGTGGGTTTCGTGTTGCTCAGTCTTTAGTTTTCAATGTTGTGTTTTGTGTACTATTGTTTGTTTGTTTGTCTTTTTCTTTTTTAGTTCATGGCGTTGTCAGTTTATTTTCGACCTATGAGTTTGAATGTTCCTCTGGTATCTTTCGCCTCACTTCTATATGTAAAAATACCTTTGAGAGTTGAAAACATTTGTCACCGTACGTCAACATCAAATTTAAAAACAATATTACATAAAAGCATAAGGAACACATACAGCCTCTTTGTATTCCCGACTCAAAACAAAATAAGCACATGTTTGTATGATGCCTTCAAAATATTTATTGTGAGTACTGTGCATTACAATTTTAAACGCAAAAGAACACACAACAATATATCTGTTTAGCGAAAAGAAATAAAACCATGCAACAGAATATCAATGTATTTCAAATATACGTGTAGTACAGATGTATATATATATTGGGTTGCGGAAACAAACGATGTCTGACTTGCAAACAAATACTGGTTACCCAGACTTTTAACAGTCACTCCACTGGTACAGAATACACCATATTTTGCAATGTTAATTGCAAGACTAAAAATGGTGTGTATCTCCTACAATGTAAATGTGGTAAACAGTATGTTGGCGAGTCAGAACAGCCGTTTCACAAACGAATGACCGGTCATCGTAGCGACTACCAATGCAAGCCAGACCTCCCTCTCAGTCGACATTTGAGATCCCCTGGCCACACTAAGGCAGATCTCAATCGACTGACCATTACAATCATTGACCACAACTCTGCTTGGTCTAGGGAGGATAGACTCACTCGGGAAAGATTTTGGATAAGAAAATTAACAACTTTGGCACCAAATGGGATAAAAGAAAAGATGTAGTTCGACTCCATGCAGTGCTTCACATTTGGGTTATATTACTTATTATTACAGTCTCTGTTTCTATTTCTTTAAGGGTTTAAGAACATCCGTTGTTCGACCTGTTAGTCAAATGCGTTTTATTAAAATATACTTTTTCACTTTTTTGGTCTTTTGGAAAATGTTTGTGCTGTATTTAGACCCCTCTACCAAGAAATTTGTTTTGCATGCACACGTATAAAAATTGCGGTAAATATCCAACGCAATCATAGGTTTGAACGTTGTTTTCAATTTAGACTTATTTATATTTTTTCGTTTGGGCTTGTATTATATTTACCTTCGGGTTTATATGATCCGTTCATCCTATTTCGACTCTTCAAAATTCAAGAGTCAATCCTAAATTGAGGTAAATTATATGGCCTTCCAAATACTGTTTCGATTCCTAACATCACCGAAGAGACATTAATTGTCGAAATCCGGATATGGTGTACAAATTTTTGCACCTCATTTTTGCGGTATACCATCTTTTCCGCAAGTTTATTGTTTTCTGTTTGGTATTAAATTAATTATAAAGATCCATTTTGTTACATCTTGTGATCCGTTTATTTGGCAATCGCCAATGGCAGTTAGCAGGGTTTAAGAACATCCGTTGTTCGACCTGTTAGTCAAATGCGTTTTGTTTAAATATACTTTTTCAGATTTTTGGTCTTATATAATAGACGCCCTGAGTTGATACGAGCAAGAATCTATTAATGATCTATCATCAACAAGAAATTCCCCAAAATGACAAAACATTAAGTTATAACAAAATACAAATGACGTTTGATATGCAGTTAACATGATTAATAGCCCTCCTACTTTTCTAGAGAAAATTTCGTAAAGTAACGTCATAAGGCATCATGGGTATAATTATGTATTTGTTTAATTTTGAATTTGATAAATATGAAAATTGTTTCGAAGGTAGGTGAACAATATAATTTGGTTCTATTGCAAATTAATGAAAAATTTAAAATCACTACTGGTTAATAAAATAAATTCCTGTTCCTGTATGTCATTATAGTATTTTTTAAAAATTAAAGTATTAAAATAATGTTTGTCGTCAGAACCAACCAATGCAATAAATGGTCGGAACGTACAGGTAGAAAGTAGAGGACGAAAAGATCTTGTGCAATGCCATGAACAAAATGCATATCAATTTCAAGGAAGAAAACTAAAACAATTACGAATGCTCAAATATTTATTGCATACAAAAATCTTCATTTTGTTCATTTCCACAACAAAATTGTCACGAATGACAAATTCAGTAAAACATCATTAGTTATAAAATTACTATCTCTTGAAAATTCCTTCACCTAAAATGCGTTCTAATCTGAATGCTGTTTCTTCCACAAAATTATAATATTTGCTTTGGATTTATTTTCACTCTACGTAGGCATGTACTTGTCCTGACTTACTATTTACTCTTTGAAGATTTCAATTTTTGCTGAAAATATTTGAGTAAAGTTCAAGTTCAAGTTCTAGCTCTTTATTGTAAACTCTCAGACATTTACAGTGTTACAAGAGGAATTCAATACATATATTCAAATGGAAATGGCAACTTAAATATACAAACGTATATCATTAAATAAATTATACAAACACACGTTTTATCAAACAGTACAATATTTTTTTTCTAAATTCCTAAAAACTATAGCTATATTCTTGAAGACCCTTATATTACATAATGCAAATAGTCCATACATTTTATATACAGATGGATAGCGTGTATTACATGTTGGAATGTACTGTATTCTGAGAGATGTAACTTGATGCATAAATGAGCAAGTTGCCGATACAAGCTGAACAAATGTAACTACAAATAACCCGAACTATTTTTGCAGTTTGTGTTGTTTTACACTAAATGTAAGACGTTTGAAGCCTTAATACCAACATGTAAGAAAAATAAAAAAATATAAATACCGATGTCCAACAAAATAATGTCTAATGAATATCGGAAGTATGTTTTTTGGTAGGTTATTACTACCTATAGATTTTTTAACTCTAGGGACCAACAAAAAGTGGCATCATCATACATTTTCCTTTGGTAGCTATTGGTCTTAAATATGATTTTTCATTTTTAATTGTGTTTTTTTTTTCATTCAATTTATATTTAAGATTTAATGTCAGTAATCTATGTTTGCTGTATGAGTCATAAATCATTACTTTCAAGGAGAATTATTTGGCGACTATTTTGTGACAAACTGTCCTAAAATGGTCTTTCAGACTTTTAAATTAATTTTTTGTTTGAATTTTGTATCTTTTTTATGGTCGCTGATATGCTTGTTTGTGATTATTCATGAAAGTGAGATACTCTACAACATGTACAAGTATAAAGAAATGTTGAATAATCAAATTTAGTATGGAATCGATTATTTTATATATTCAACATGTTCAACCTATCTAAAATGCAATTATAATTAATTGCATAATATGCACGTAATATGACAAGTGGATACTCCGTGTCTTTGTGTGATTTAAAATAAATGTTTATTATTGCTAACAGGGAATTGTTTGTGATCTTTTTTTTGTAAAACGTTTACCATCTAGTTGAATTCTAACAAAAGCTTGATACTTTTTTGGAGTACTGATACTTTCATTTTCCTGTTCTACGGAATTTGACCTTGTTTGTTGATCCGACATGATATAACAACTTGGAACACTACAGATGAATATGAATATGATTTGCTTTAAATTTCAAATAGAAATCTGAAAACGTTTTAAATGGACGGCGGACACAAACAAATAAGCACCTATGTGTAAAGTAAAGTATGTTTTGAATTGTACCACTTCCCTTCTTGTAGAGTATATATCATATTAACAAAAACATATATTGAAAAACATCATGTGTTTATTCTTAGACTTCAAGGATTGACTGGGGTACGGATATGTTGTCATTGCTTATACTTCTCAGTGAAAAATTGCCCAATTGTGGCGTCACAATAGCATGAGTTGAAACTGCACCGACGGAAGTTTCTTACCACACATATGCAGAGCTAGCATTGTTGAGCTGAATTCATGTCAGTAATAAGTATATGTAATGTGGTGTTAGCTCTGTATAAAATTACGTTATCCAATGGGGAATGTTTGTAGTAAAGTTTTTACATACGAAGACGTATATAATACAATAATATTGATGTGATTTTACGACAAAAATACAAAGCTTGTCTGCAAGATTATACCGTAAACAGGCCACACTACAGTATGTACATGTTTGTATAATGTTACAACCTTGCTACAAACGACGTGTTAAGGCATTACTAGACTAACGAATGCTATATGCTATATAGTTTAGTTGGCCAGCTGGTATAAGGCGTTTGGCAAAGTGCAGTCGGTATTTCCATGATGTCACAGCTGCTATGCAATAATTTACGAGAATTATAGTTTTGTATACACTGAAAAACTGAAGTGTTTTGTACATTTATATGTTGACCACTTGTAGAACACATTTGAGACTTGTATAAAATAAATTACCAAGAAACTTATATTAATTAGTCTACACCGTGGAACAATACATAACAAATCTTGAAACATTACGAAACGTAAAGAGATATGGTTTGATTGCCCAAGGAAACACCTATTCATAAAAGACCAAAGTAAACAGTCACAAGTCATCCTAATGCATTTTATCATATGCAAAACCTATACTGTAAGAAGAGCTTTAGAAGAACCATAGAATGATCAAATGTTAAACAATTCAAAAGTGGAAACAACCGGCCTGATTTATCCTTCTCGAATACACAAAAACTTTCATGACATAAACAAAACCAACGACAGTCCTTACATTGCAAGCTTTGGACAGGCACATGTTTTGAGAAGGTAAACTATGTTTGAGATCTTTCAATTCGCCTCTAACATTTGACAATAGTATGACAACCCAACAAACTAACTAACTGAAAAAATCAGTTTGAAAGGTCTTGACTCGTCAGATCGGTACGTACCGCAAGAAAGACAATATACACATCATACGGGTGTAAGAGTACTCACAGTAATTAAAAGCAACAAAGACAATTTTTCTATTATCAAATGAACCATATTTTCCGAGACTAAAATATCAAAAAATAACTTCAACCTCCATATTGGTGAATTTATTAAATATTAAATGCTTAAAATCATTGGGAATAGTATGAATTGAGGCGTTGTCATGTCTTTAATAAATGATTTTCCACTGGAATTATCATCATGAAGTGAATGCACCAACGGAAAGCAGAGGAATATGGCTACCCTGTACTATAATATGTTTACATTCATGTTGATAATGTCTGTATAATTAGATACAAAATATGTTATTTACTAGATCATTGGTCAAAATTCGTTTTTTTTTGTTTTTTTTTTTTTGTTACTTTGCTTAGTAGAGTACAGTACAGTTTCGAGGATATTAAGTTTTCTGAGGTTGCATGAAAAGGAAAATCTTTCTCAAAATATTTGCTGATAAGGGATCAGTAGAGACTAATTGAAACGTCTGTCAATGAACGTTAGATATGTCTGCAAAGTCTATCAAACGAAGTTTGACACTCTTAATTGTTTTCGATTGGGTTCTTCTTCCTTCCCTCCTTCGTATTACAATTCTTAGAAACCGTAATTTTACTCTACTTTCTCCTCTATGGAAGGAAAATACTTATATTATAAATGAATCTCGTTGACAAAAATATAAAATGCAAATAAATTTATAATAGAGCAACTGTTTGTTTCTTATAGATACACTTCCAATACCCAATGGTGATAACGTGGTATATTGTTCCAATACCAGTGATTCCTGGGTGGATGGCATTGTGCTATATAAGGGTGAACGGCCGACTATGCATATTAATGTACTTACCGTTTGTAGATATATTATATATGTACCACCTGCAGCGAGTGGAATTTCAACAGTAGATGTATGTGAAATCGAAATAGGAGGCAAGTGTTAATTGTGTTACGGTTATTCAATATAATAGTTCATTTAATAAGTGAACATTTTACATCAACAACAATGTGACTAATATTTTAAATTGCGTTAATTTGCATATTCGAACTGTTTTTGTAAAGCTGACTTCTAAAACGTCAATATCGGGAATACAACAGATATTTACAACTGAGAACGTGTACAAAATAATGTAACAACCAAAGAACATTACGCAATTATCAAGTATATATATGTATTTTTATATATTTGTATCTTTAAATAATATAACATGATGTTTAAACTTGTCATGTCGTATACAGGCTGTCCTTTAGGAAGATATGGAATAAACTGTGAAAATTATTGCTATTGCAACGGGCCATGTGATTTAGTTACAGGAAGTTGCACATTTGGCTGTTTTAATGGATGGATTGGTGAAAGATGCGACATTGGTAAATGTATTGTTTCTTTAAAATCTTTAAAATTCACTATAAAGTGTAAATCCGTTTCTCACATGCGGTTTTCCTTTGCATGCCTTTTTTAAAGATACAAAAGAATTCAAACTTTCACATTCAAAACAAATAAAATTTTGACTCAAAGATCACATTATTGTTATTATAATGTTGGAAGGTGATCAAGCAATAATACTGTCGTTGACTGTTGCAGACATATGCCTGTGGGCAGAAATCTTATTGTCTTTAAAAAAAAACGAGGGGATATAAATAATACGTTTCAATTCTTCACTTTCACCAATAAAAACAAACGAAATATATTACAAGATACATACAGCTCTATCGGTACAACAAAGTCGGCCGGACAGATTTTAATTCACCTTGTGATGGTCACTTTCTTTGCAAATTTAACTGTCGCTTTCTAAAGACTAAATCGGCCAAGAATCCCTGTTATGTCACATTCTATAATTTTAATAAACTGTATGCCAAATTCCTTTATTCAAACTGCACAAGACAACTTCGATTAGTGAAACACACACTAGATCACAGAACGATAAATGTGACCCATTTATGATAAGCCGCCAACAACATGGATGTTCTTGTTGTATTTGGAAGTGGTATCGGTATTATTTTTTGTTAACTATTAAACGGATGATTTAAATTCAGAAAAGCACTTTAAATGCAGCAAATTCAGGATTTTTGACGTTGATTTACACAACTCCAATTGAAAAAGGCAATCAAATGAGTATATCAAATTAAAGATGATAAAACCTTTATCAAATTTTCATCAATAATATTCCTGAATTTAATTCATTGTTGCAGAAATTAAAAACAAAACTTTCCATTTGTATTTATTCTACATTGTGCATGCACTTTAAGAAAGAGTATTATAGTCTATGTTCTTGCTTATAATATATAAAACCAATGTTGATAGAACAAAAATGTACATATTACAAAGAAAAAACAATTAAACTTTACTCTTTAAGAAATATAGGATATTGATCATTACACTACAAACCAGTAAAAGTCTGAAATGGCCTATATCTGTACTCGACTGTACTGATTTTTACTCGACCAGTCTGAATTGGTCTGAATTTTACTCGACATTACTCGACCCCAGTCTTAGCCATATTCGACCGTACTGATTTGTACTTGACCCTTATCTTTGCCATTGAAAATAGTCTGAACTATTACTCGACCAGTCTGAAACAGTCTTAACCCATTCTCAACCTGTACTCTGAACCATACTTGACCAAAAAACCTATACTTTTTTTTATTTAGCTGTTAAAATTTTTTTCTGACATGACAACAGCCACAATAAAATAAAGATAAATATAAAATCAAATTGAGAATGGAAATGGGGAATGTGTCAAAGAGACAACAACCCGACCATAGAACAGACAACAGCAGAAGGTCACCAACAGGTCTTCAATGCAGCGAGAAATTCCCGCACCCGGAGGCGTCCTTCAGCTGGCCCCTAAACAAATATATATACTAGTTCAGTGATAATGAAACATATTTTTACATCCTTACATGATTCTCAGATTTATCAAATAGAGATAGTTAAATTAAATTATCTTATATAATAATTTAATTATATTAATTTTAAAGTTTTAGAGTTTTGTTAAAAAAAAAATTCTTTTAACTAAAAACCACAACTTTACTAAGGGTAATAAAACCTTTTAAAGGTACTTCTTGTTTGGCATGTGTTTTTCTTTTTTTTTTTTTAAACTTAATTTTCCTAGATTCCTAAAGAAAAACCATATAGGTTTCATGGTTACATACATTGGTTATATAATTATCTTTTTAATGAGGTAACAACAGACAAAAAATCACTGAAATTGTTTAACCTTATATTAGAAATATATCTAATTCTTATTATAATTTGGGATACATTATATATAATATATATCAAAAAGGGATAAAAAAATTAAAGAAATAGATTAAATTTTTCTTCTGATTAGTGGTAAAGTATAAAGTAATACCTCTTGCTTGGAGCAAACTCATTAAAAAGATCACACCTGGTCAGAGAGTATTAATTTCTAATTAACATTCATTAAACATTGAAACATCCTGTGAATCTTAAATCGCAAGGCCTTTTGAAACCACTAGTTAAGTAATACACGAGTTTGAGAAAAAAGGGCTTTCTTTTTACCTGAAAAACACACATGTACTGAGGTAAATAAACCTTATTAAAGTGCTTCTTGTATGCCATGTCTTAAATTTTGACAAAAGTTATTTAAATTTAATTTAAATAAATTTTTTCTGCAACTTTGGAACACATTTCCTTTTTTAAATGGTTATCAAGAATTGCAATGGAAGTTCTATTATCATGATTATATTAAATTCTTGGTTTTACAAAACAAAGGTAGGATTTTTAAAATTTATTAAGTTGCTTTATATATACTATTTCAAATATATTTTAATAAAAAAAATGTTCACTGCATTATTAACTAAACTCAACTGACACCATAAATCTATACAAGGCTTAAGTAAATGGTGAAAATTGTCCAGTAACCATAAAATATATCTGAAACATTAAAAAAAAATTGAATAACATTGAAAATATTAGTCACAATTCAGTTTTGAGATTATTTGATCAGCTTGTTTTATTTTTATTTTAAAGGTGATATATATATATATGTAAGTGTTGATAAATATGGTGTTGAATTTATATTATGTTTATTGTGAAATTTTGGTTTCAATCCCATATTGAATATATTTTAAATTTCAAATTGTTGTTTAAGTTTCTAGCCAGGGGAAATAGTTGTTAAAAACAGTTCCTAAATTGATGAAATATAATAGATAGATACAAAAATTAGGTCTAGGTTGGTTAAAACAGTCAAGTATGGTTCAGGGTAGGTCGAATATGGTTCAGACTAGGTCGAGTATGGTTCAGACAAGGTCGAGCATGGTTCAGACTAGGTCGAGCATGATTCAGACAAAAATAAAATGGTTAAGTACTGGTCGAGTAAAGGTCGAGTACAAGTTCAGACTGTTAAGTATGGTTCAGAATACAGTCGAGTATTATCAGGTAAATTTCAGACCAATTCAGACTGGTTGAGTAAAAATCAGTACAGTTGAGTACAAATATAGGCCATTTCAGACTTTTACTGGTTTGTAGTGTTATAGAAAGGTTTTGTATAAAACAATAATATGGCAATATGTCCATCCTTTGCGTAGTAATTTCATTTATACATAAGCATCTTTCGAATGCCCTTGCAATGATTTTCATGTTGTGAAGCGTTTGTTTTAAAAGAATTAATATCACAATTAGTTTTACCTGACACTGACAAAGTGTTCAGGAATCTTTAATAAAACAATATTTTTGTTTCACAGCATGTGCTGTTGGAAACTTCGGACGGGAATGCGGTAGGTCTTGTTCTGCAAACTGCTTGAATCTACCATGTAATCACATCTCAGGTGAATGTACTGGAGGTTGCAATATAGGATGGGAAGGATACAATTGTACAAAAGGTTTGTTTCTTTGGCTTATCATTTTGGTAATGTTTTTAATTGATATAATAGTCAAATTACAAATTAAATTACTGATATAATAGTCCAATTACAAATTAAATTACTGTAATGTTGTGGCATCCAGCAATAAAAAGTACAAGTAATTAAAGTATTGCAAATTACCATAAATATTGTTGGTATTAAAAATATTGTAAAGATCACAACAATTGAAATCTCATAAAAACAAGATGCTGGTATTAACTGCTATTTTATTATTTGAAAATGGTAACCTTATTTTCAAGTCTTAATTTCTTAGTTTGTAGTACCATACTTTTACAAAAAACACACGAATATATTAGAAATGTGAGATAAATCTCAGTAATATTAAATCATAGCTACTAGACTGAGTATGATTCTATATTTCAGTTGCCCTCTCACAAAAATTTTCTTAACTATGGTAGTATTGAAATACATAAAAAAAAAATCAACAAATTTGTGTCATAATTATATCTTAAGATTATTATTATTATTATTTTTGTTTTGCAAGTTTTAAGGTATAACGTTAATAATAATAAATGATAGTAATGATAATGAAATGTAAGGTATTAGATAGCCCAATAATTATAAATACTAGCAATTCCAATATCTATAACTGAAACATAGAAGAAGTTATAGATGAACTGAACTACATTACATGTATCATCATGTATTCAAGGAAACAGTTCTGGAATGTTATAGATCTAAATACATCATTAAACTGAAATATAAATGCAGATACATTTTGAGTGAAGAAAGTAAAGTGATATCGTATGAACTTGACAATGATATAAGACTCTACATGTGTAGACAAAATTCTGTTGTAATTTTAGAATGCGACATTGGACATTTTGGTTCAAACTGTTCACAGACCTGTTTCGGATGTATATCAGACATGTGTGATAAAGTCAACGGCGTGTGCAAAAATTCCAGTGGGTGTAAAGCAGGCTATTTAAAAGGACAATATTGCAATCAAGGTACGTGTTTCATATAGTCCGATATTTAGTTAAGTTAAGTTATTTTATATTAAGCCTTAGTTTATAGATTAGGAACATCATTAGTGCAAGAGGCGAAGTTTGAGGTCAATTGCGGGTTACAAAAAACAAAGACGAACACCTTTTTAAATTTAAAAGACACTTTTGACAATAGTTAAATACGATTTTATGGAATAAACATGGGCAACAACTAAGCGAATTGGCAAATAACTACAAATTCTACCATAACATCATCTCGAGTTAATAAACTTTTAAATTAGATGAAAAATTTGAGTTTTCCATAAAAACTGTTTCTGGGCTCATTTAATGAAAAACTCCGAGTAAGATATTCCAAAAAAATTGTAAGGTAATCACTTGTAACAACCTTTAAAATGTATGGTTCATTGGACATAATTATTTTAAGGGGTATCCCGAGCAACACGAAAACAAAATTTTAATTTACGAATATTTAAGCCGTGGAATGGGTATGTATCAAAACATAAGAAGATGTGGTATGATTGCCAATGAGAAAACTCTTCATTAGAGACCAAAGACGTAGAAGGTAACACCTTCAGGTCACCGTTCGCCGATATGTGTCCATCTATAATCGACCATAGCTTTGTTATCATTCTTCATGGCTTTGCTTTTAAAAGTAAATTGGACATGACATTGGAGTATCTTTTATACCGGTTAACATGGTAAAGACACCAGTATGTGCACACTGGTTTTTAGTATTGAGCCTTGTGTTTCTCGATGAGAATAGCCATATCTTTTTGAATGCCTTGTAGATACGTCTTATCAAGTAAATCTTAAATGTATGATATATCGACTGAATTAAATTCGTGATTGAATTAAATGAACATGTCGCAAACATTGGACACATCTCAAATGTCATGTCTCAATTTGTCATACATTATTACGAAATCATTCAGATATGTACAAATCCAGACATTTGAAAACCAACACTATATTATTATATGAAGACGTTAGGAGCTTTATGACCAAAAAGGACACTGTCAGAGTAGCACATTTCTACTAAGGTCAACTATGCCTCAGAGATTTGTGTCTTAACATGTAGTTTTGATCTATAATGACTATTTATAATATATGAACACAACAATACGATACATCTGGTCTAGTTTTGGTAAGATGTTAACGATATGGATGTTCTGGTCTTATTTGTTAAAGTGATCGTGTATAATGTAACTTGTTTCAACTTGTTAACGGATGAATTCATATTCAGAAAAACCCTTTACATGCAGCACATTCAGATGTTTGACGTTGGTTAACTTAAAATTCATGTGCAAAAGACATCACCAATCAATTGAGTACAAATAAACATCATAATAAAACCTGTATTAAAATGCCATCAATAATTATCCTGAATTTGTTCATCATCGCACAAATGACAACAAATAAATAAATTTGTATTCGTCTTGCATTTTAGATGTACATTGCTAAACAGTAGACTTAAGATAATCTATTTTCTAGCATGTAATATATGAAACCAATGTTGATAATATTTTCAAAACGAAATTAATCAAATATAATCTTTTTTTAAATATAGGCTTTTGATCTTTAAAGCAATTTTAAGTTTAAATAAAAATATTGCCAGTCTTCTCTGAGTCATTTTATTTGAACTTTAGCATTTCTTGAATACACTTAATTATATTGTTTCTCAGTTAAACAAGCTAAAAGGAACGCTTGATGTTAAGCGTTTCTTTTTAAACGAACTGATATAACAATATTTTTTTATTCCTGACACTACCAGAAATCTTTCATGAACCAATCATATTTTTCAGAGTGTGCTGGTGGAAACTTCGGAAGTGAATGCAGTATGAATTGTTCTGCTAACTGCTTAACTCCATCATGTAATCACATATCAGGTGACTGTGAAGGTGGGTGTAATGCAGGATGGGAAGGATATGACTGTACCAAAGGTTTGTTTCATTGGATTTTTTTTAAATTGATAGAATATTCCAATTACAAACTAAATTACTATGTTGGTGTTGCATTCAGAAATAACAAACTTCAAGTAATTGAGATTGCAAATTAGCATACATTATGTTGGTATTCAAAATTTTGTAAAGATCACACCATTGAAATCTCAAAATAACAAGATGCTGGTATACATAGCTTTTTTATCATTTGAAAATTGTATTCATATGGTAATTTCTTAGATTTTTATTACCAGACTTTTAAAATATAGAACACGTATGTTTCGGAAATGTAAGATAAATCTCAGTAATATTAATGCATTGTTATGTTTTTACATTTAAATTGCCTTGCTACAAGAAGTCTCATAAATATTGTAGTATTGCAATTACATGAAAAATTTTCAACAAATTTGTGTTATAGTTATATCTGATGATTATATATTTTTTTTTCCGTTTCTTTATTTTTTTTTGCAAGTTGTAATGTATTATGTTAATACAAATAAATGATAGTAATGCCAATATAACGTATTAGATTGTCCAATAGTTATAAATCATAGCAATATCAATATATATCGAAGAAGTTATGGATGAACTGAACTACATTACATCTACCATTATGGATTCAAAGAAACAGGAATGTAATAGATATAAAGACATCGATAAACTGAAATATAGATTCAGATACATTTTGAGTGAAGAAATGCATTAAAAACCAGATTTATTTACTTTCATCCTCCACTTTTATCATTCTCCCTTATGTCATGTATGAAGTCTTGAAAGATTCACTCATTAAGGAAACATGTGACTATGTAAAACAACCCTTATATATTGTTTTGTTTTTTGCTACCTGTATATACTCTTTTCAGAATGTTCTAATGGTTATTTTGGTAACAGCTGCACGAATTTTTGTAAGACATGTTTTAATATTTCCTGTGATATAGTTCAGGGAAATTGCAAAGCCGGTTGTATCGACGGATACCGTGGCCGCCAGTGCACAATGTCAGGTATTTATAATGTACTATAAACATTGTAATTCATGTTTGTTGTTTGCAAATGGTATTACATATGTATTATTTAATTCGTTAAAGGTAACTATATATATAGCTAGAAGAAAAAATAAATACAAAATAATTTTGTCTTTGGTTGAACGATTAATTTTACATTGAGTTTTTGAATTTGATACAAAAAAAAATTTCAAAACGAGAATTTTCATATATGATTTATAGAGTGGATGAACCGATCCCGGAAATTAAGGTACGATCGGGGTAAAATTACCAATTGCAAATAATCTTATTCTAAAAGGTTACCTTTTCAACACTGTAATCAAATCTTTGAATATTGTTTTTATTGGTATAAATATTGATTTTGTTATTAGTAAATTAAAACCATACTAAATATTACATATAAGTACTCTCACGGTACTACAATCTGTCGATACCTATAGTTTGGCATTGCACAAGGTCATGTTTTGCTCTGACTGTTAATGACGTCTTTACACTAAATCCGTTGGATGTGTACTGATTGATATTTTAGTCTTAGATACATGATTTTTTTTATTAGTTGTTATTGGTTTTGAACTAGCTGTCAGTAACTGCGAGTACTCTCAGATCTTTATTTAATGTCTTTTAGTTGTGGGGATGTATAAGTACCCCTCCACGTCCACTCTGTGTTTTTGAAAAGAAAAAGAAAGATAGCAAGACCAGCTGGCCGCCTGATTTTTTTTTTTTTTTGACATTGGAACAACACAGTCAGTGCGGGGCCACTGAGCTAAACTGCCCTCTTTGCACCAGCCGATATAAATGAATGCCTAGGGTGGGAATCGAACAGACGTACACCAACTCTGTGGTCCTACATTTTCAAATGAACAAAAATTAGCTCCTAGAACAAACAACAAAACAAATTAAGGTTAAAACAACCTATAAAGGCGTTAAGATTTGTTTATATATATACTAGTTTATATACTATACCTGAAAATATAAGTTGATTATCGGTTACTGAGATGTATAGTGTACTTGGATTGTATTACATAGACTCCACTGTACAGCTACATGTATAGGTTTAAATTTGCCAAGGCGGATTTTTTTTACGGGGGGGGGGGGGGGGGGGGGAGGGGCACGCTTCTTTTGAGGAGTTTCATATATGATAAATGCATTGACTTTTTCATTGTAGTACTCCAAAGGTTGGTTTACTAGATCCCCCTTTCAAAATCATGGATCCGCACCCGATTTGTTATACACTGCTGACATCTAGGCTTTAACGAGGTTGCTTAAGTAATAACAATAAATTTGGACCATTAAAATTAAATAGCGTCCGGTTACTCTAAATGAAGTTTAATTTTTTGTTTAATTTACCTAGTCAACATTTGATTTTAGTCGTGAACATTTTGAAATCCCTGTTAAATAATGTACGACTTGGGCTTCTGGTACAAATTAGAATGTGGAATGATTCATCCAAACTCTCAGAAAGATTCTTGTGAAGTTAATTTCTACAGAATTATAAATTAATATTAAAAAAATAAAACATTTTGATAAAATAAAAAAAAATAACCCTTCGCAGTTCAACTTTTAATCTGGGATCCTAGAAATCTTTCAAAATATCAGAAATCTGACGTCTTTTGCGTCTATATCCAGAACATCTAATTCCTTCAAAATGTTTTCGCCTGTGACGTTATCCGATGTAAATGTGCATCCATCCCTGTCGAAAAATCTCGTCTAACTAATTTTCCCGCTGTTTCAGAAGCCCGTGTTTATTTTAGAAAGTAGGCGAAACTTTATGTGTAAGGCACGAAAGGGGTTACTTAACTGATTCTTAAACTATTTTTAAAGTAAATACAAACAAAAATATATGAAATATACAATTTTGAACATCAAAAGATGCAATAGGGTAAAAGAGATATTCCATATTTTTGGGATAATTTTTCAGTGTATCGTAAATTATACCATAGTTTTTTGTTGAAACCCCTCGGCAACCTCACTCGACTTCGTCTCGTGAGGTTATTACCGGGGGTTTCAACAAAAGCTATGGTATAATTTACGAAACACGGCAAAACTATCCAAAAGATATGTAATACCTATAACTTGTACTGGTACACTACTGTCCCAGGTTAGGGGAGGGTTGCACGCTCACAACCATGATTAACCCCGCCACATTCTTTATATGCCTGTCTCAAGTCAGGAGCCTGTAGTTCAGTGGTTGCCGTTGGTTCATGTCTGTTATATTTGTTTTTCGTAAATTGTTTTGCTATAAATTAGGCCGTTAGTTTTCTCAATTGAATTGATTCATATTTTTCATGTCTTGACCTTTTATAGCCGACCATACGGTATGGGTTTTTTCTCATTGTTGAAGGCCGTACAGTTGCATATAATTGCATACATCCACTTCATTTGAACTTTGGTGGATAGTTGTCTCATTGGCAATCATACCACATCTCCTTATTTTTATATGGAAACTGAAAAGTACACTAAGTTTAATTGATTAGAGTATATTACATTTTGAGAGTTTTAACACAATTTCAAACTTGCTACTGTCAAAGGGTTTTTACAGACGTACATGACATTTTCTGTTTATAAATTTAGAAATAACTAAGAAACTAAGCTAATACTAACAATGACCACTGCCCTTTCCTCGATCTTGATATCTATATCATTAACGGAAAGCTTAATACTAAAATATATGATAAAAGAGATGATTTTTTATTTCCTATCGTTAATTATCCATTTTTAGATGGTGACGTTCCCTTGTCACCATCTTACGGTGTTTATATATCTCAACTTGTACGATTCGCTCGTGTATGTAACAATGTTTTAGTTTTTAACGAGAGAAATTTATGTATTACTGAAAAATTATTACACCAGGGTTTTCGATATCACAAACTAGTCAAAACATTTACTAAATTTTATCATCGGTATAAGGACATCATTCGTAAATATAGCTCAACATGCAGACTTCTTATACGTTCAGGTATTTCACATCCAATTTTTTATGGAAATATTCTTTATAAAGCACAAAAATGTCAGTGTTCACCTCTGAAGCTAACAAAACCTTTAAATAGACTTATTAAGAAGGGATATAGTTACGATACTGTTGTCAGGTCATTAAAGATTGCATATTTTGGCGTTAATATTGACTCACTTATAGGGTCTTTGCATCGGCACTAAACACATTTATTTAAAAACCAGTTGTTGGCATGATACGGGTTATGTTCTTCTCATATATGTTATGATGGTATGATACTAAACCCCTAACGGGAAGGATTGTGCCTGATATTCATATGATGAAGACATAATCTTTCAATCAGTTTAATTGAAGTCTGGAGCTGGCATGTCAGTTGACTGCTAGTAGTCTGTTGTTATTTATGTATTATTGTCATTTTGTTTATTTTCTTTGGATACATCTTCTGACATCAGACTCGGACTTCTCTTGAACTGAATTTTAATGTGCGTATTGTTATGCGTTTACTTTTCTACATTTGCTAGAGGTATAGGGGGAGGGTTGAGATCTCATAAACATGTTTAACCCCGCCGCATTTTTGCGCCTGTCCCAAGTCAGGAGCCTCTAGCCTTTGTCAGTCTTGTATTATTTTTAATTTTAGTTTCTTGTGTACAATTTGGAGTTTAGTATGGCGTTCATTATCACTGAACTAGTATATATATTTGTTTAGGGGTCAGCTGAAGGACGCCTCCGGGTGCGGGAATTTCTCGCTGCATTGAAGACCTGTTGGTGACCTTCTGCTGTTGTCTGTTCTATGGTCGGATTGTTGTCACATTCCCCATTTCCATTCTCAATTTTATTTCAACTCCCACAGGCAAAGTTGGCCTCAGATGGGATATGCTATTATTCTTATGTCCTTTTTGGTCATATAGCCCTTCAACTGTTTCGGTTCTTATACATCCTTTGTTTTCAAATACTTGTTTTCTGCGTTCCTGAAGATGGAGAATCCAGAAAAGCGCTTCGGCCGCATGCAGTTTATAAAGTTCGGTTTTCATTTTTTCAGTAAATCTGCATTTAATATTTCAGTTTTAGCCGATACCGCTAGTACCGATTGTCAGCTGTCTACTCAAATTGGTCTCTTTATTGGGGCGTTGTTGTTGGGTGCGATTTTGGCCGTCGGTATAATGAGTATTATTATCAGGAGACGAATCTGTACAGCACAAGGTAAGCACTATAAGTAAAATTTAGTATATTCAAATATATACTAATTTATTATTAAAATTCACTTGAAAATGCTAAAATACATTTATGATCACAGTTTAAACTATCGTTAATGATCAATACCACGGTTTCATATGGTTAATACCATAATTAGAGAAAAAAAAAAAACATTTTGGCGTGCCAATCCAACAGGATCAAATATTTGAAATTAAAAATTCACAGTAAAATCTGTACAACTAAAGAGAAAATGAAGTAGCATGCTTTTCATTTCGAATTGTGCTGAATATCCCTATCTGCATACACAATTAGTTTTTATCAATAGTGTAAGTTGCATAAAAACAAAAACAAAAAACACAAAAAAAACCCAAATGAACCGAATCAACAACCATACTATCAATCTTGAAAATTACATTCAGAATTTTCAAAAATGTTTAAAAAAAAAATGTTTTTAAATTAGTGAATAATGACAAAAATACCTTCAAGGTATATATATATATATATATATATACTGTTTTCTGCTCTTTGGTCGGATTGTTGTTTCTGTGACATTTTCATTCTTAACTATATATAAGTCAAATGCGTTTTGTTAAAATATACTTTTTCACTTTTTTGGTCTTTTGGGAAATTTTGTTTGTGCTGTATTTAGACCCGTCTTCCAAGAAATTTGTTTTGCATGCACACTTATAAAAATTGTGGTTTTTATCCAACGCAATCATAGGTCTGAACGTTGTTTTCAATTTAGACTTCTTTATATTTTTTCGTTGGGGCTTGTATTATATTGGCATTCGGGTTTATATGATCCGTTCATCCTATTTCGACTCTTTTAAAATTCAAAAGTCTATCCTAAATTGAGGTAAATTATATGGCCTTCCAAATACCGTTTCGATTCCTAACATCACTGAAGAGACATTAATTGTCGAAATCCGGATATGGTGTACACATTTTTGCACCTCATGTTTGCGGAATACCATCTTTTCCGCTAGTTTATTGTTTTCTGTTTGGTAATAAATTAATAATAATATCCATTTTGTTACATCTGGTAATCCGTTTATTTGGCAATCGCCAATGGCAGTCAGCAGAGTTTTAGAACATTAGTTGTTTAACATGCTAGTCAAATGCATTTTGTGAAAATTTACTTTTTCACTTTTTTGGTCTTTTGGGAAATGTTGTTTGTGCTGTATTTGGACTCCTCTTCCAAGAAATTTGTTTTGCATGCACACGTATAAAAATTGCGGTTTTTATCCAACGCAATCATAGGTTTGAACGTTGTTTTCAATTTAGACTTCTTTATATTTTTTCGTTTGGGGCTTGTATTATATTTGCCTTCGGGTTTATATGATCCGTTCATCCTATTTCGACTCTTTTAAAATTCAAGAGTCTATCCTAAATTGAGGTAAATTATATGGCCTTCCAAATACCGTTTCGATTCCTAACATCACTGAAGAGACATTAATTGTCGAAATCCGGAAATAGTGTACACATTTTTGCACCTCATCTTTGCGGCATACCATCTTTTCCGCAAGTTTATTGTTTTCATTTTGGTAATAAATTAATAATAAGATCCATTTTGATACATCTGGTGATCCGTTTATTTGGCAATCGCCAATGGCAGTCAGCAGGGTTTAAGAACATTAGTTGTTCGACCTTCCAGTCAAAAGCGTTTTGTTAAAATATACTTTTTCGCTTTTTTGGTCTTTTGGAAAATGTTGTTTGTGCTGTATTTAGACCCCTCTACCAAGAAATTTGTTTTGCATGCACACGTATAAAAATTGCGGTTTTTATCCAACGCAATCATAGGTTTGAACGTTGTTTTCAATTTAGACTTGTTTATTTATATATATATAAACGGTATTTGGAAGGCCATATAATTTACCTCAATTCAGGATAGACTCTTGGATTTTGAAAGAGTCGAAATAGGATGAACGGATCTTATAAACCCGAAGGCAAATATAATACAAGCCCAAACGAAAAAATATAAACAGTTTAAATTGAAAACAACGTTCAAACCTATGATTGCGTTGGATAAAAACATGTGGTTGAGTGTTCTAGGGCGCTGGACAGGGTGCAGGCGGTGTTGCCACAATGTCACAGATGCAAGGGTTCGAATCCCGCTGATGGAAGAACAAAAACTTGATAACACAAATTTGAAGGTCTAACATTATTTGGCTTAATTTGAGACGAATATATATGTAAATACATTGTTCATGAAAGTTGTAGAGTACATTAAACTTTATTTATATTTTAGAAAAATGTATATTGACTTGAACATAAGCCTCGGTTACCTTTAGGGTCATAACTAAGCATTGAAAGTTTTAAAATGTGATGATGTTTTAGGGTTCATAAAAGACTTATTTACCGATCCGTTATTTTATAAAGTTTTATCTTATATTACGAGTCACCAAATGATTTTAAAAGAAGCAACACGACTAGTGAAAGAGGATCTACTAACCTTTTAGAACTTCTGGGTCTCCGGTTTTATAATGGGGTTAGTGTTGATGTGTGTTGATCTTTTTGTAGTTACCCACTGTGTTGTCTTCTAATGACTTATAGGTTTTCAATGTCTCTTTTTTCAATTTAATTTAATTGCTTTTAAAACTCATTAAAATTGCAGTCTGGTATGAATCTGTTTGATTTACATCTGTTTTTCTTATACTGATCATATATTCATCAAACTGATTGTTGGAGAAATAAAAAAAATAGAAAATCTTCTCAGATATCAGCAGTTATCTATCTTAACATAGACAAGCCTATAAAACAACCAAACCTCTCCTATGTTGAACTTAAATGTCGCACTGATCGGGATGTCGTAATAATATCTTTATTGTTGTTTTAAAACAGAGAACAGCAAGAGTTCTCTCATGTATTAACAAAAAACACTCATACGTCTTATACCAAGAACAATAAATATTGCATTTATTTTGTAGAGCAAAAGAATAAAGCAGCCGACCCTAAATTGTATGTATTATTTCATTTCTATCCATTTGTAAACATAAGTGTAAAACTTAAACTGTAAAGCTTTCGTCACTGAACTGAAAAATATATAATTTCACTGCAAAGAAAGGAAATATCCGAATATGTAGCCATGAGCCGAATCCTTTTAATGATTCCCTATAAGAAAAATGAACAAAATAAGGTATTATGATTATTCAAATTTTCGCATATGCCTATGTTATGTGCACCTATGAAGTATATACAATATATAGACTAGGCATTAACGGCTAAGAGAAATTGAAAATATAGAAAATTTTCCGGTGTCATTCATGGTTTATTTTCCCTCCCTTCTTACAATCGTGTAATAGAGGTAATTAACCTATTAATAATTAAACTACATACTGGTTTTGTTCCTTACGGAATTTAACATTATTATGGTATGTGAAAAATGTAGAATGTATGAACATGGCAAACCGGTCTGAAATAAACAGCAGTGAATGTTTTTTTTCAATTATTCATACCTTTTTCCTTTGGACTCAGATGAATAGCTGTCTTGTTGAATTGGTAATCATACCACGACTCCTTATATCTACGACAGAATCTCACATAGATAGGAACATTAACTGTAACGATCAATCGATTCGTGACAAAGTAAACATTCTTAGTAAAGGTAAACTATAAACCACTGAATCATGTGAAATTATAAAAATCAGTCCATTATGAAATCTGTACTCGTTCTATGTCATTTCCCTGTTTTAGAAATGTTGGTAGTTTTAAGTTTAGAGTTCAATTGTGTTTTCAAAATTGCCATAACTAGAACATGCTCTGGCATATCGAACGGGATATAATTATCATGGCTTATGATTCCCTGTCGTGATGTGAAGCGGGAGAAACTATATTGGTTGTCACACCGTCCGTCCGTCATTGTCTGTGTTTTTATACAACAAACATTGTCAGTGCGGTTACATCTATAATTGTGTTCATGGGTAGGTAGGGAGTATTGCTACTTACAATGTAAATGACATGAACAATAACACTGAACGATAAACAAAAATTCACAAAAAATAACAAGGTAAACAAGGTTTGGCAACAAAAAACAAACAAAAATAAAGCCAGACATAAAGTAAAGCGCTTAAAATTGTACACTGTATATCTAAATTTAAAATACCGCCACGGTGGTCTCGTGGTAGCGTGTTCGCATCGAGAGCGGGAGGTCGTTGTTTCGAACCCCGACCGGGTCAAACCAAAGACTTTAAAATTGGTAATTGCTGCTTCTCCGCTAAGCACGCGGCATTAATGAGTAATATCAAAGACCGGTCGGCTCTGAATCACAACAATGTGTCCGGGAAAGGTGATATGTCTTCCTGTTACCTTGTGGACAAGCACGTTAAAGATCCGGCTCACCGTGTCGGTCTTGTACAAAGCAGAGTTAATATTTATATTACATTAGTTAATATTCATATTACATTAACATGTCCTGAATAAGCAGATTAATTAGCCGCTGGACGTTAAGCAGCCATCCATCATCATCATCATCATTATCATCTAAATTGAAAAGTGTTTAAAAAATGAATCGTCATAGTTTGGACAACCATTCGAGACTTAAACTGTTAAAGCTACAAAATGTAATTTGACTATATTTATTGAGTTTGGTAACCTTAATTGATTGTATATTTCAATAGAAGCATACAATAAAGTTGTTTGTAAAAAAATAAAGATGCAGATGGTACTAAGAGCACAGAAACTGCATGATTTAAAGTGATTTGTATATATTTGTACTAGTTATAATTTTAGACTTATCTTGTCGGTATTTCTATATCCATGGTCTTAAGCTTTCACTTACACATTTATATAAAATTATATTCTTTTCTTAGCAATGAAAAGCAGTATGACAATCTTGGAATGGAAACTGTATCTACGTATCAGGACCTTACATCACATTCTATACCAAATGACTATGATCAGATTAATACTCAATATGTCAATCAATAGATAATTGTAAAATGTCTTTATTTTGTAGTGCGTAATTGAATGTCTATGAATTGAATTCTTTTTATAATTTTATTGGGGTGTATAAGCGTTGACCGAAGCACATTTTGTGTAAAGCACGGATTTAATGTGCGCGCGATCAACCCTTTACAACCCTATACAATTATTAAATGAAACGTTCTATTTTATAACTTAATTGTATGCTACACCCATGAAATTAAGGATGTTCGCTCCTCTATTTCAAAATAACAAGCTTTTTAAAAGACTGCTTTAAGTTGATAGTAAATAAATAACGGAACTTAAAAAGCTTAAAAAATATATAGGTCTTTGTCCTTGTTTTTGAGATATAATCAATTGAAAATTTGGCGGGAAATGATTTTCTCTAGATTTTTCATACGTTTAACATTGACATCTTTCATCTTTCGAAAACTATGTAAAAATAACAAGGATTTTATAAGATTTCCGAAAATAGCTTTTTAAACTATATGTAATAAAATTATGAAACAAAGCGGGCGTTAGCGAGCAAATTTATTATTGACACTACATGAATAAAACTAAAGGATTCCGAATATCTGACAAAAAGTCATAAACAGGAGTAGCGAACATCCTTAAGAGTTATATCAAGCCTTTTGTTTGTTTTTCAATGCATTATTTTAACATTTTCACGAATAGCATGTGCAGTCATAGCTGTTGTATATTATACGGAAATAAAATATGATATTGGAGTGTCTCGCGATTGTTGTCAATCAATCAAAATAACGGATTTTAATGAAACATGTCATATAATATGATTATGTTAAATTAAAACTGGAATACAAGTAAACATTTCATCATATTGACCGTTAGACTGCATGCTATTGTAAAATCATCTATACAATCACGCATCTATATTTGAAAAGCTCCTTCACGCTTCATATTACAAAAACGTATCATTTTTTTATTTGATATACAGATTTCCAAACGAGATATTTCCTGATAACAAAACTTTTAAATAACATAGACTTTTAACTAATTAATTTTTTATTTTGATATATTGTTTTTGCATGTTTTGTGTCACCTAAAACAATTATAATAATTTAATAGTTATATGCCATTGTGTGAAAGCATGCATTTATTGTTAAACGTTAATTTCTATTGTACCTTGTTGTCACGATATATCCTTTGTCTATCCGATATTGGAGAGTCAATATAGAGTTTAAAGACGCTTTTATTTTAACATAGACTTGACTGTTGAGATAATTGCTTTCATTAACTGTAGATATTCTTTTGATACGCATTGTTTATAATTGATTCTTGAGTGCTTTGTATTGTATCAACTATAATTGTACCGTAAATTGCTAAATACATTTTCAGTATTCACTTGTACTGCTATGAAACAAAAGATATACTTTGTTCATGTGCAAATGAGTTAACAATCTACCAAATACCAAAGGACAACGGTGCAAGAAATGTTCTGTTTTGTATCTTGTGTTATTCCACTGATCAGGAATGAGGAGTAGAGGAATGAGATCACAAGTAAACTAATTTAACCCGGACACATTCTCATGTGTCTCTTCCAAGTCGGTAACATTGTCAGTGGTAGTATTTATTCATGTCGTACATAATGTTTTGGCTTTTTTTTTCTTTTAAATTGCTGTAGATGATGGTTTCTAGACACATCTTTAAGAGTTTTCACTACTCTTTTAAACTTCTATATTTTGTTTTAAAGTCACGTGCTGTTGTTGCAGACTGAAGACTGCAGACTGAAGACATCTAAAACAATTGTCTGTTTGCTACATGAAGTTGTGCGATTTGTTCGGTTATTCATAATTTTACAATTAATTATTTTTGAAATTGAATTAAAGGTCGGAATTCATGAATGCCGATTGTTTGATGAAAAACGCATCCTTCCAACATAATGTAACACATTTATTTTTGGTATGGAAAAGTAATTGACCATTTTGACATTGTTTTATATATTTTGCATCTTTATCTACCATACACTGTGTTCTTATACCTTTTGTATAACATATTGAGCTTTAGTATATATATTATGAATATAAAAAAACTCGGGAATATCCTCGTATTATGGGTTTTCGTGCTATTAAGAATGCATTGTGACATCACAATTTCCATTGAAAAAGCATGCATAGTACGAATTCATATGGCGTACCAAAACATATGATGTGATCATAACGTCAATGACTAAGTAGCAATTCGACGAGACAAAGGACCAAATAATACATCGAGGCCGAGGTCATCAACAACAGACAAGCGTTATTACTATACAACATGTCACGCAGTAAAGGGTTCTGAGGCTTATGAACCTGTAAAAAACTTTTTAGAAATTATCAGAAACATACGATCGGATAATAATTTCAATAATTCTTCTTTAATATTGTAAACTACAATGAAAAATTTAAAACATTTCAAACGAGAAAAAAAAAACAGCTTGAACATGTACAAAACAATAAACGAAATACAAATTTGCTATACAGCAACAAACGAAAACCACTAAATTACAGGCTCCTGATTTGGGACGGCACATAAATTGAATGTGGCGGGGTTAAACATTTTAGCACACTTAAGATGTTCGCTTATCCGGTATGTTATAATCAAGAAAGAATACGGAACACCAAGAGCTACTGTTTATATCAGTTACTCATAATTAATGAACTTTTGTCTGCTTGTCCATGATTGATGATGTTTAATCTTTGAAATATAATGGATATGCCTAAGACATAAATTCGTACTTTTAATTGGCCAAAAGCAATCGCCAAGAATTTCAATATCAAATTGTATTTCTCAAAAATTCAACTTCATGACAGCATGTGCTTCTCGTATCAACTTCTCAACAATAAACAGGAAAACAAACGAAACATTTGCTAGAACTCGTAATTTCATGGTTGTAGCATAAAAATGTGACTACTGAAATTGAATACTTCTTTTTATTATTTTATAGGGTTGTAAAAGCGTTGATCGTGTGCACATTTTTAGTATAAAGCGCTGCTTGTTTTCTTAACAATTTAAGTTAACATTTAAGTTCACAAAAACCATGTGTATTTGTGTTTACTCCGGTACCACTGTTTCAAAGTGACATCATTTTTGTAAAACAATGCAGTTTTATGCATATAAGTTCATGCATGTTCAGATACATAGTGGCATGGAAGTGTTAAAAGTTAGATTCACTGGTTAACGTTTTGACAAATGATTAAACACAATAGTGAGTAATTTTATCCGTTGTAATTCTACCTTCTTCCAAAAGCAATACGGTTGTGTAAAGATTTTCAAATATATTCGAATCCAATATAAGTAAATCAAGGTATAGGTGAGCATTAGGCTCATGCTTAATTTTTTGAATGTTGTAGTGTGATGTACAATGAAATGAATAAGTCATAGAATTAGTATTATAGGTTTTTGTACCAGCTTACAAAAAACTCTATATTTTATTTTTCATGGCTCTGACCGTTAATATACAAAGTGTCGAAATCTGTGTACAGTGCACAACACGCGTGTTGCAACGTTTTAATCCAAAGTATTAGATTAGATGACAGAACAAGTCACAAATGAGGGCAATGAAGACGTTTCGTGACCATCGATACATATTTACAAAGATTTAAAATTTATTAATTTGAAATTCACACAGAGTTTAATATTAATAAATAATATAAATATTTAGATATTAATGAATCAGCAGCTTTTCAACACGGCAGCTTTAAGAATAGGAATGAGTATATGTAACCTTATGTAAACTTAGCACGGACGATTTTTACATTTTAAACATCTTTAATAATTATGTCTTTTCAAACTTGGAAGCTATCAATAACACAATTAGTGTTTTTTTCGAACTTCTATTGAAAGTGTGAACACCAATGGGACATCTAAGTTTGTTTGTAAAGACCTTGAAGTTCATAGTTGTTTTCCTATTTACCGCAGCATTTTCTACTTGCACTCCTCGCACAAATGTTGCGTTTATTTGTCTGTTCGTATGTCCTCCGAAGTATACACCTGACCTTCTTCAAACATCGCACGATCATTTCCGAAGCAATATGCAAGAATCCAGCGGTAGCGTTACACACAAATATTTTGGCATTCCAATAGTTTTGCTGAGGCAGAAAAGTGAAAATTTCTGCTGACAGTGAGGCTTTTATTAAGTACGAGAATGACATTATTTTGCAAAATATACCCGGAGTGCAATACAGATTATTAGGTTTTTACATGTAATTGATGCTAATATGTTTGTATGTACAGCACGTGTATTGATTATACTATATAGATATAAGAAGATATGGTATGAGTGCCAATGAGACAACATGAGATTTATACGGGCCGTTTGCTCTGTTGATCATCAATAACAGTGGACATTCAGTTTTGTGAATAATTTATTATCACTTTTTCTTTACATTTAAAATCTATAATGTTTGAATGTATCAATACATGAATGAAGTTTGTATGCCTGACTGATCTAGCTTAACATATTTACGAAATGTAAAACGGATGTATACACAAACGGTATGTCATGTACTTCCCGGTTAACAACGAACACAACGTCATGTTGATCTGGTAACAATGAAGGTACGTGTGTAGTTATATAAAAGTAAATTACATGTAATACTTTTAGAAAACAGAGCTAGAAGACAGAATTCACTGTTAAAGCATGTTCAAAACCAATACATGTTTTCATCAAATGTCCGTTGACTTTTATTGAAAATTAATTCTGTTTTTTTGTATTCTTACGTTTAATCTGCATATAACATTTCGGTAATTGCATTCAAATAAACGTTAATAAAAAGTCACATTTTAAACCTTCACCATATACATGTATGGAATAAATAAGATTACACAGTCATGTACTAGGACATACATTCAATTTAACTATAAATTTTGTATTCAAATAAGTTACATTTGTTGTGTAATTCCACGAGTATACAGCCATGTAATTGTAGTACAGAGTTCCTTTCGTGTCTTGATGGTTACGAAAGATAATGTTAACGTATGTACTTGCATAACCGTTACACTGTTTGAATATTTATTTTCATATTCATTAATATTATTATCTTTCCATCTCGTTGAATGTATATAAATTTAAAACAAGTTTTAGTTGATGTGGCTAGAGGTATAAGAGGAGGTTTGGAATATCACAAAACATGCTTTCCCGCTGCAAATGTTTGCACCTGTCCTAAGTCAGGAATCTGATGTACAGTAGTTGTCGTATGTTTATGTAGTTCATACGTGTTTCTCGTTTCTCGTTTTTATATAGATTAGACCGTTGGTTTTCCCGTTTGAATGGTTTTACACTAGTAATTTTTGGGGCACTTTATAGCTTGCTGTTCGGTGTGAGCCAATGCTCCGTGTTGAAGGCCGTACCTTGACCTATAATGGTTTACGTTTATAAATCGTTACTTGGATGGAGAGTTGTCTCATTGGCACTCATACAACATCTTCCTATATCTATTAACCCCGCTGCATTTTTGCGCCTGTCTCAAGTCATGAACCTCTAGTCTTTGTAAGTTTTGTGTGTTTTTTTTAAATTTTGGTTCATTTGTTTGTTTCGGAATTTAGTGTGACGCCCATGGCCATTTTCGATGAATTAGTATACCTTATTGTTTAGGGGCCAGCTTAATCCAGCCTCCGGGCGCGGGATTTTCTCGCTGCGTTGAAGACTTATTGGTGGTCTTGGGCTGTTTTCTGCTCTTTGGTCAGGTTATTATCTCTTTGACACATTCTCAGTGTCCATTCTCTATTTTAGTATTCTAGATCGTCTACTGAGATACTTCCGAAAGCCATCTAGTGACATATATTTTTTACACATGACATCAGTAATATATCAATGTTACTTTTCAACCGTATTTCATAGAGACATAAAGCCAATGATATATATCCTTGGTCCATGAATATGAAAATAAATTGAATTAAATGTCAAAGGTTATTAAGGTCATGTTATTGTAGTACAGTCCTTAGATAGATTTGGCTATTTTTTAGATCCTTTTTGGTTTATGTTCTGCAACGTTTTCGGTCTTTATACATCCTTGACTTTCAAATATTCGGCTTTGAGCGTTCCTGATGAAGGGAAATCCAGAAAAGCGCTTCGGACCATCAAATTTATAACGTGTTGTTTTCATTTTTTACAGCACTGAGTCGATACCTCTGCTGGTGGACTATCAGTCCCCGAGGGTATCATCAGCTCAGTAGTCAGTACTCCGGTACTGACATGATTTATAACAAACTATCTAAATTTGCCCATTTATAAATTTTGAAATTATACTGAAACTAAGGTTTCAACTCCCTCAGGCAAAGTTGTCCTTATATAGATTTGGCTATTTTTCAGATCCTTTTTGGTTTATGCTCTGCAACGTTTTCGGTCTTTATACATCCTTGACTTTCAATTATTCGGCTTTGAGCGTTCTTGATGAAGGTAAATCAAGAAAAGCGCTTCGGACGCATCAAATTTGTTGTTTTCATTTTTTATATATTTAGCAATTCGCTTGTTATCTTTATTCCTCAGAAACTGTAACAATAAACGACAAAAAACTTTTTGCCAAATTATTGGGTACGACATGGCGCATTTTATTACATTTGGGTCGAAGTGCTTTAGTGACGTGGTGCTTTCTTCCTTTTTTATCTGTTTGCAATAAGAATAACTCATCCACCGTACATATAACAGGCCTAGGGTATTTTGATTTGAAATTCATGACCTATGGCCTTAAAATGAAGGTCAATATCAAAGGTCAATTTGACGATTAAGATTTTTATATTTCTAATAACTTCACATTTGTACATGTAGATGCTTAAGTCATACTGTTTTCTGCTTTATGACGGGAGACATATGGCCTTGAAAAAGGTCAACCAGAATTGACCTATTGTAAACCAGAAGTAGCAATGTATTCACTTATTTCATGAAAAAGTTAATAGAAAACACATATATTTTAGACTAGTATATATACAAAAAGATATAATTTGAAACCGTACGTGACATATTGTCAACCAGAAGTCACTTTTTATATGACCCGTATTTCACAAAAAAAACTTTTGTTTTGGATTAGTATTAAAATAAACGGTCTATTCTGACATCGGACTCGGACTTCTTTTAAACTGAGTTTTACTGTGCGTATTGCTATGTGTTCTACATTGGCTAAAGGTATAGGGGGAGGGTTGAGATCTCACAAAACATGTTTAACCCCGCCGCATTTCTGCGCCTGTCCCAAGTCAGGAGCCTCTGGCCTTTGTTGGTCTTGTATGTTTTTAATTTCAGTTCATTTACATGTTTTGGAGTTGAGTGTGACGTCCATTTTCACTGAACTAGTACACAATTTTATTTAGGGGCCAGCTGAGGACCACCTCCGGGTGCGGAATTTCTCGCTGCGTTGAAGACCCATTCAATTTGGTGGCCTTCGGCTGTTGTCTGCTCTTAGGTCGGGTTGTTGTCTCTTTGACATATACCCCATTTCCATTCTCAATTTTAGTTCATAATTCACTGAAAGTGATTTTTTTTTTAACCGACATTGATGAAAGTGCCGTTACGGTCATGACGGTAGTAAACAAGAAGTTTTTTTTGTAAACCAGAAGTAGCAATGTATTCACTTATTTCATGAAAAAGTTAATAGAAAACACATATATTTAAGACTAGTATCAGTTGGGTGCAGACCAAGCATTACATGTAGACGGGCCGAAAAAGTTAACGCGGCGTTTACTCGCGTGCACTTCATGTTAACGCCGCGTTAACTGTGCGTTAACTCCGAAATTTCAGTAGACATAAAAAGTAAACGGGCGTTTACTTTCGCGTTTACCTCCGCGTTAACGCAAAAACGGCGCGTCTTCTAATTTTGTAAAGAGTAAACGGGCGTTTACTTTCGCGTTTACTTCCGCGTTAACGTGAAAAATGCGCGTCTTCTATTTTCGTCAAAAGTAAACGCACGTTTACTGTTTGTAGTAAACGCGCGTTAACGCAGATTGTCATCGTATCCTGGATACACTGACCTAAAAAATCAAATGATAAGGTACATCAAAATTAAATGACCAAGTGGTCATTTTCGATTGACATATTGACGTCGATTACAGTTAATTGATAATGTTATCACACTTCTTTAATAAATTTAATCAAAATTATTCATAGTAAATTTCTTTTTCTTCACCAAAATATAGTTCAAGTATGTCCTTTTATTAAATTAATTTAATCATCACCAAATTCAAACAGTTTTCACATCTCAGACAGGCTGACTCAGGATGACTCGTAAAAGAAAATTATTTGATCTCATTAACCAAAACTGACCATATTTGCCTTTGGTCAAATTATCTATAAAGTAGCGTAGTAATTCAGCTATATTTTATGTCATTATGGACCGTATAATACAATTGACAGCAATATTGGAACCAGCATGTCCGTACTATTTTTATTCAAAATATTTAATCGTAAACAAATTTCAGTAGATTTAATACATCAGACTGACTCTTAGAACAAAACGATGTGCCCTCATCAACCAAAACTGACCATATTAGCACTTTATTATCTAAATCTTTATGTCCGCATGGTAAATGAGTTATATTTTCATGTAAGGATGGATTGTATAATACAAATGATAGCAATATTGGCACATAATGACTAAAAAAATTTGTTCACATCACTTTAGAGTGACAGCATGTCCTCTTTTTATTCAAAATATTGAATCGTAAACAAATTTCAGTAGTTTTCATACCTCAAACTGACTCGTATAACAAAATAATATGTCTGCATCAACCAAAACTGACTATATTTGCACTTTATTATGTAAATCTTTATAGCCGCATAGTAAAAGAGTTATATTTTCATGTAAGGATGGATTGAAGACACAAATGATAGCAATATTGGAAAATATTGAGTAAAAAATTTTGTTCGCATCAATTCAGAGTGCCAGTATGTCCTCCTTTTATTCAAAATATTGAATTGTCAATAAGTTTCAGTAGTTTTCATACCTCAAACTGACTCGAATAACAAAATTATTTGTCGGCATCAACCAAAACTGACCATATTTGCACTTTATTATGTAAATCTTTATATCCGCATAAGTAAATGAGTTATATTTTCATGTAAGGATGGATTGTATAAAACAAATGATATCAATATTGGCACATAATGACTAAAAATTTTTGTTCGCATTAATTAAGAGAGCCAGCATGTCTCTTTTTATTCAAAATATTGAATCGTAAACAAATTTCAGTAGTTTTCATACATCAGACTGACTTGAATAACAAAATTATTTGTCTACATCAACCAAAACTGACTATATTTGCACTTTATTATGTAATTTTTAAAGCCGCATAGTAAATGAGTTATATTTCCATGTAAGGATAGATTGTATAATACAAATGATAGCATATTGGCACATAATGACTAAAACATTTTGCTTGCATCAATTAAGAGTGACAGCATGTCCTCTTTTTATTCAAAATATTGAATCGTAAACAAATTTCAGTAGTTTTCATACATCAGACTGACTCGAATAACAAAATTATTTGTCCGCATCAAACAAAACTGACCAAATTTGCACTTTATTATGTAAATCTTTATAGACTCATAGTAAATGAGTTATATTTTCATG